GATTGCTCATTTTGGCGCTTGCACGAGATCACAAATTTTATCGGAGCGACACAAAGTTAAATCGTCGACCGTTTAAAATAATGCTGAATATTTATGCTCGAAAGGCATTTCACTTTAGAAACAGTTGAATGCCCACAGCTTCCTATACGTCAATCACTTCTGATGTGCGAATGATAATGAGGGCACGGCGATCTGATTTTGTTTTTTTTTTAGAGCACTAATTACCACTTAACGACGATCTGATTCGACAATGTTTATTTTTTAAACAGATAAGGATATAACTTCGAGCCAACTTCGGGATGCACTTTTTCTTTTTTAAATTACAAACATCAACGCTGTTTATTTATGTTACCACTCTGCCTCTCTTCCTGCCACTCGAAGTCCTTGGCTGTTCACAACCTTTTTCTAAGTTTAATCTTCTTTAAGTAGGGTTATCTTTAAGATAATATTCAAATGTTTACAAAAATGACTGTCGTTAACCATGCAAGGTATAATAATTTTTCTTTGATCCTCTCACTCCCAGGAGTGTTAAGACATCATTTCTCCTTACAATATCAATTCAATATCAAAGAGAGACGTGATGAGAATAAATCAATACATATCAATTATGGGATTATGAGTTGATCCAATACTAAATTCTTAAATTAGGGGATTATTGGTTGATCCAATACCAAATTCTCAGACTTAACATCGCAAGAAATGTAGTGGGAACGATTGAGAGAATTAATAATGAGATATTGGGGGTGAAAGGGTTGAATTGTATATGGAAAAGGAAAGTGATAGTTGAATCGCAATTAGTTCGAACCGTCAAGCATTACCGTTTAGGACATAAATTTGAGGCAGTTGGACAAAAGACAGATGCCAAGACTACCTTAAACAGCTCACTCCAAATTCGCTCTGACGAAGGGCCAACGCTCAAAACGACTCCTTACAAACTCTTTACGGTAGTTGCGAATCCGGTGGCCAATTTTCATTATCAACTCAGTGATACAACCAAATTATTTGTTATACTCCACCACCGACGCAGCAACACAGTCTGTTTAGAAACTACCCTTTATTCATTCAATAAAAGAATTCGCTAATTTAGTAAAATAAAGGGGACTAGTTTATCGTAGTATCAGTGATTTTCACGAAGAAAGAAAAAAAGAAAAGGAAAACCGGTAACACGACCAGAATCAATTTCCTGTACGTATTATGATTTCCTGCTGAGCTAAACGGAGAACGACTGTGCGCGTGCCCACTCGTACCCTCGCATGCTCTATCGCACGTTCCTTACATCGCGCACCGCGTAACTTCTTGTCAAGTGTCCATACCTGTCTCTTATGGTACTTTGGACCTAAGATTTAGAGTTGACACGATCATTACCATTGACCTATCGACATATCAGCTGGGACGCTTAGCTTACTGCCTCCCCTGCCCCCTTTACTGTTGGTCTGCAAGATTACAAGGACATTTTGGAAATTAACTATATCGGAAAGGCGAAAGGGACGAAAGGACATCATAACCGTTGTTCTGGAGAAGGGACTCGACTACTTACGTCTAGGAGAGTAGATTAGACGAACTGTCTGGCCGCCGTTAAGAACCAAGGACAGTTAAATTGTCTTACATGACATATGCTCTCGTTTCGGTGTCTGTTACTTTGTGGTGTCACGCGAAGGAGACAGTATACTTCAGAGAAAACCTTCTTTGATTCAAGATGCCTTTTTTCGATCTGAAAACAAATGTTAAGGATGTTCCAGCCGAGTTTCATAAGGAGACCACAGACCTCATCGCAAATCTTCTTGGAAAACCAAATTCTGTAAGTGTCCAAACATTTGGATTAATTTTGGAGCGTGGCAAGCGTAAACCGAATCAAGTCATTTCGGATATTTCCAAGCCCTTAGAGCTAAATTAAACTATTTTAGCGGTACCTTCTATGGATTGCATAGTGATCGATTCTAGAAGATGTACAAAATTTAGATCAGGTATTATCGTCAGCTATAAAGTATCTGATAAATGGAGGTTTAAACGGACTGAACGAGGAAATAATATTTGCAATTTTAATTTGAAGGTTAACGATCAAAACGAAAACTTACTAGCATTTTATGGAAATGGTTTCGAGTGCAGAGGAGCTGAAACGAATTTTAGACATAAAATTACTGAAAAACTCGAACATCTCTGTAGTCTGTAAAGCATCGTAGAGGTGAAACAACACCATTCTTGGGCATTTTGTCTCTGATGGGTGGTATGGAGAGGGGAAAAGGTCACGTGTTCCTCAACAAGCATCCTTCTACATGTACATCCAAAACTACTAAGTTTTACCTTATAGAAAGAAAAAGAAAGATAGATCAAAAGCCAAGAAAAACAAGAGATGTTGTAATTAAAGACATAAAGATTCAATGAAGTTGATGATGCCCAATAATGATTTAGGATGAGCAGTGAATAATGAATGTAATTGTACATGAAAATACTATGTGATTCTGATTGGCTGAAAACGAGTCCATTCTCCTGTATCACGGGTGTAAAGTTGGAACAGGAGTACATTTTACAAGAAGCATGCGCATGCTTTCAAAATCTTGTCTGTCTGACTTTCTGCAATGTTATTTTATGTGCATTATTAACAAGTATTACTGTGATTTCTGTTGCAATTTGGTATAATATGCACTAGTCAATTTTTCTAAGACAATAAATTACACTTGCTGTACAAGCTCGTGTAATTTTGTAGTCTTTAAAAAACTTACTCTAGCTTAATTTAACAAGTTGCACTCATAATCATGTTATGACCCATACTAATTTATGATGAATGGTGGCAAGCAGACATTAGAGGAGGGGGTGGAGGGGGGGTGGGGGGTAGTGCAGATCCTTGGACTTTCCCCCAGGATCATCCACTGCAAAGAGGAAAGGAAATAAAGTTTACTCCTTTTTTCACTCTCCTTACTGGGAGAATATTTGGCCACACGTAGGTGATGTATAAGATGGGCATATAGACTTGTGTCTGAACATCACCATGACTTTTTGTGGTTACAGGGTTTCTAGTAGCCATAATGCTATCATCTTGTAAGTAAGAGACTTTTAGTGATTTTTCAGCAGCTGGAAGTGAAATTGTTGAGTTTCACTTTTAGCATCTTTTCTGCAATTTAATTGTTAAAGGTTCATTTTTGATGATCCATCATGGATAGTCCTTAAGCAAATGTGGAATTTTGGGAAAGAATAAATAAATTCTTTGTGAAATGTGGCATCTACAATCCTCTGCAAGAATCTAAGAATGCACGGTGGCTACTTTGAAAACTAACAAATAAAGCTCTGAGATGAGGTTGGCTGAATGTGGCAAAAATGTTTGAGACTGTGAACATTCGACCTGATTCAATATGATGGAGTTAGAAAATGGTCCATTAATGCGAACATGGGCAAATTCTCCCCTAGATGACCTGCTGCTGAATAATAAAACTGGCATGTATATGTGTATCCAATGTGTTCCTAATAAACTTTTGCCCAGAACAATCAGAAATACATGCACCTGGCTACCTGTGATTTCTCATACTCTTTGCATCAGTCTCCAGGAGTTAAGAGATTCATTTATATATGTAACTTATAATTTACTAACCTGCACTTGACATTTACTATACAGGTGGTTGGAGTGAATGTTGATGCTGGTGCAAGATATACATTTGGGGGGACTGAAGATCCAGCTGGAGTTGTTAATATCTATTCTGCAGGAAGTCTAGCAGCTGATAAAAACAATTCCTCTGCTAAAGTAATTTCTGAGCACCTTCAGAAACATTTCAACATCCCAAGTGGCAGGTAGGTTGTAACAGTACAGAAAAAGCAGAAGGGCAGAAATTTGTCATCAAATACATCTATACCATCATGATGTAACATTACTTAGCTTTCAAAAGATGTAGCATGTGCAAAACCATTTTTTTCTTTTTCTTTTTTTTTGGGACATAAGGAGATGCAAATGGAAACTTAAACAATTGCTGTCAAGTTTTCCTTCCAGACCTCGCAAATTTTCGAACTTCAACATTGTTGTTTTGCACAGGATGGTTAAGAAATTATCACTCGAGGGATATCCTTGGGTATCCCCCAGTATTAAATGGGAATATTCAGTCATGTGATCCATTTAGACCAATCACACACAAGCAAAATTTATGGATCAAATGTATTGTTAGCATAGGGGCATGCCTCAACTTTGGCATAAGTCACTCTTCACCCAGTGGAAAGCATAAAGTATTGAGTAAAGCAAGCTGGCAGGAGTTCTGTAAGGAGTCTTGTAGTGATGTTTAATGCAAGACTCAGGAAAACCTCTCCCTGACTGGTAAAATCAATCCCTTGGGCAGAAAAATGTGCACCCTGTAGCACAAATAATTAGGCCTGCTCAGTGGCCAATGCATTATGGCCACAACATTCTTCAACCCTTCATGATACTTTGTGTAATGATGTTTTGTGATCTCTGACAGAAGTCCATCAATTTTGAACAATATTTTTTTTTCTTTGCAGGCTTCTCATCTTTTTTCATGATATGCCAAGAACCCACGTAGGTTTTAATGGAAAAACCTTGGCAAGCTAAAATCATCCGTCTCTCATAAACTGATGAAAGAAATAATTGGTCTTGTACTTGTAATTTTAGTAAACATCAAAGTAGACTACAAGCAGTCTCTCCTTTTTAGGTGAAGTCTGTTGCATGACTAAAAACAAATCAGTTAAAAGAGATTGATGTTAGAGCACCGTGTAAAACTCTGGAAGTCTGGTGCATGAAAAGTAGGGACTACACACTGAGCCTGAGATTTCCACCAACTTTTTCATGTGCCTCACTCCCTACGTTCTGCATAACATGCTACACGACATTTTTTTCACTGATTTTTTTTTTGATTGCACAACAGACTTTGCTGGAAAGCAAGGACTACTTGTACCTGAACATCAAAGGAGGAAACAGACAAAATAAAAGACAACAAAAACATTTCACTTGTGTTTTATTGGTGATATCATATCCTCTTTTTCACCTTGACCTCGGTTCACTTAGAAGGAGAGAAGCAAGCTATATGCAATTCACTACCACTATTGAATCACAAAATGAATATATTCACTGAAAGAAAATTACTTTTTATGTTCAGTAGTTCTGTGTTTGGTTTGCCTGTCTTACACACTACAGCAAGAATTTTAGAGTTTGCTACACTAATTCTGAGCCACCCTATGTACTGAACAGAAAAAAACAAACAGTGAAGTTCAGTTAATACTGATGGTTTGCCACAAATAAGCTTTCTCCCCCAGCAATGCTAGCACTTCCAGTATACTCTCCTTTGGAAGCCATTCCATTAGCTGCAGCGCGCTTCAGAAACTCTGTTTGCCCAGCTTTCACCTGATCTGTTTTTCCACCCCAAGCTTTCAAAGCACTGGCCTGAAGAGCACGGCCAAATGAAAATGTTAGACGCCATGGCTTCTTACCTGAATAATGGAGAAGGAAAAAATTATCTTTACCCTGACACCTTTTAACTCCCAAAGATTGTGAAGAAGATGAAATGATTAACTGTTGTCTCTGCATCTCCATATGTCTTTTCTTAATTACAGAATTTACCGATTGAATTACCCATAGTCATGTCTAACTTGCCACTTTAAAAGCTTTGACAAAGAGTTTGCTCTCTCCACATTGGACTACAGAGTTTTAATTTTAGATTAGGGAATATAACATTACTTTTGAGATACATGGAAATAAATACATGTAAATAAATAAATAATAAATTGAACTATCCAACAGAAACAATGAATAAGCAGACACACATCTGTTTGAATTTAGGCATGGATTAGTGCTGAAATCTAGGCAGTCTTCACACTTGTTTGATCTGAAAATGTCATGTGTATGTGACATTTGCTGTGTGGAGAGCATGTGAAAAGCATGTGAAAATGTTACCCTTTCAACACTATGTTTTCACATGCCTATATGCAACAACATAGGACTCATGCTACACTTTAGAGCCTCAAAGATAATTTATGACACATGAAGCCAAATTGTAAACAAAGGCCTCTATGGAAGCACTTGAAGCATTATTCCAACATTTTGTTGGGGAGAGGAGGAATGGGTTACAGAGTGTCTACTGCAGTAAAAAACCCATGTTAAAAAATAACACAATTAAAATGAAGGAAATCGTCACATTGGCTGTTTATTAGCATGATGGATTAGTGGTAATCAGGAATAGTACCACTAGGAATAAAAACTTGCTTTTAGCCACAGTGGGACTGCAATGCTAGACTTCCAGATTCCTTGTTTGCTTTAATAACCATTTAACTCCCAAGATCTGATTGTTAATTCTCCCGTCTAGCTGCTACACATTTCCTTGTAAATTAGTTATGCTAGATTTTGATAGCAGCTTCAACCTGATAAGTTTGAATATTCTTATAACCTGTTTGCTGAATAATCTATGGATATTATAGGGAGAAGTTTCATGTTAATCACTTCTGGGTGACACATCAAGACCTGGTGCCTCCTGAAACAGAAAATAACCCAACACAGAAAAACTTGTGTCTCCATTTACCTGGATACTGATTGATAGCATTCAGGTTGACGGATGCTTCCTCTTCAGATTGTCCTCCAGACAAGAAGACAATACCTGGAACTGCAGCAGGCACAGTGCGGGACAAGGCTGTAACAGTAGCTTCAGCATTTTGTGGTGGAGTGTATTTTGTTGGACAAGACTGGCCTGGAAAAAAAAAAAAAAAAAAAAAAAAACATGAAAAGGAACATCACAGTAGCAGCATGTGATACAAATATTACTGCAGCTGGGATAAATCAGTTGACAAAACTAATGGTCCTTAGAAATTTGTTGAAAGTTAGGGCTAAGTTGCTTCTCTGTTCTACACCAATCTTGTTTCTTCTTGCTTTGTTGTTGCCTCGTTTATATTTGCCTACCTCAATAACTTGTACTCTGTTGACTCAGAGTGTGGAGTGAATTGAAGGCAAAGGATACTGCTAAATTCAATAATTCATGTGAAAGTCAGAACTCATTAAAATTCAAATTACAACAACAATTGGTTTCATTTTACAGTAACTCAGCGCAACACCATGGCAGGAATATTTAAAATCAGGGTAATTGTCTACAATCCTAAAGATAACATTCTGAAATTTTAGTTACAGGAGTTATATTGATTAATTCCCCTAATATTTTAAATGTAGAGACCTTTTGCTTAAGATCAAACCATGAATAAGACTGGCTGCACTTAATTGGCCTCTTTTAGTTTAACATGACAAGAAATAATCGTTAATATCATTAACGGCAACAGTGATTTATTCTGTATCATAAACTGCATCTGACCCCGGTAATCCTCGAATGTCAAACAAAATAAACGCTACCCTGAGGGAAACTTGTTCTAACAACCAACAATACTGATTGAACAGCTAGAAATATGTCTTTGACAAACATCTATAAGGTAGTAGCCAAAATTCTGGCAATAAAATTATAGATCTTAGTTTGCAAACGTGGCTAAGCTTACACAGACCACAAGCTTTTTGAATTACATATGGCCACGTCAAGATTGTCGTGAATTATGGATTTTTCTTTCCCGCAAATTACATAAAATACACCAAGATTTCAACCGTGACTTCACAACTTAGTTAAAATTCACTAAACTACATTTACAATAAACAAAAATCATATTTATATTATTTGACTTGCACTGCAAACAAACGCACAGGGGGTATTAAGAGGAAAAATGTTTGTACGTCAGCAAACTAGTCAAAAGGGAGGTTTTCAGGTTTTTGCATAGTCAGAAAAGAAACAAAACAATTGACGTCTTTGTGGTTAGTATAAAAGCCAATACTGGATCTAAACATCTCTTTTGAGACATAGAAAAATTATTAACAAATTAGCAATAAACTGTACAAAATGGAAGCTAATATCTTAGGTTCGCTTACCAGCTGTGACCATGTTGGGTTTCAAAAGCGTTCCTTCCAGATAAATATGATGGTCAACAAGAGCTTTGTAAGTAGCAGAGAGAACAGCTTCCGTGACTTGCTGGCATCGTTCTAAAGAATGATCACCATCGCACAATACTTCAGGCTCAACGATTGGAACGAGCCCATTAGCCTGGCAAATGCTTGCGTAGCGAGCGAGGACATTTGCATTCTCTTTCATGGCAAGCTCGGACGGCTGATTCGGACCAATCTTCAGCACACAACGCCACTTGGCAAAGTCACAGCCATCTTTTTTGTACTGGGCACATCTCTCGGACAAACCATCAAGTCCCTGAGTGGTGCTCTCACCAACGGTTCCAGCCAAGGGCACAACACCTTTGTCGACTTTGATCCCTGGAATAATGCCGTGGTCCCTCAAAATCTTAACAAAAGCCGTTCCATCGTCTGCCTTCTGATAAACGGTTTCGTGGAAAAGAATGACACCACTGATACTGTTACTAATGCCTGCGCCTGAATTGAACAGAAGCTGTCGGTAAAGGCGACGGTTCTCTTCGACATTTTCAACGCCGATGTTTGCCAGTCGTTTGCCCATAGTGCCCGTGCTTTCATCTGCAGCTAGAATACCTTTGCCTGGAGTCACAATAGCCTCGGCGATTTTCTTCAGTTCTGCCTTCAACTCTGGGGTAAGAGGGGCATCCATGTTGAAAAAGTTCAGGTGAATCGACTGCGTTGAACCTCGCTCAGTCACTCGTCCGATGCAGAGGGCAAGGATTATACGTTCTAAAAGTCTTACGCTCCGTAAACGTGGTATGATTGGTCAGTTTTCAAGAGGTTACAAATAAACCAATCATAAGCCCGTTTATAATGAGCACTGGTTCGTGACAACTCACCCGTATTTTTGTTGAGACGTTGTGTAAACGTGTCATGATGAAAGTTTCCATTGTAAATAGTACGTTTTCACTGGGCATTATAAATTCATTTCCCTTCACAGCTTTTTCAAACTAACACCCACTTTTTAATTATTTTAAATTTAAATTCCATTTATGGCATTAAAGGGGGCGTGAATGGGGGAGGGACCATGTGTTACAATCAATGGAGGGGAAACTTGGCCCGAGTTTTAATCAAGCAGGCACTGAGATCAGCGGTTAATCGCAAAAATCAAGATGGCGAACAAACTTCTTCGGAAGTGTGTCATTCTAGCTGGCTTTTGTGTGAAAAATCCTCCGCAGAAATCATCAAATTTTTTTAGTAATCGTAACTTGAAGGTATGGATATAATTTTTTTCTACTCTCGAAGAGACTTTTTTCCCCGTGGCATTTCAAGGAAGGTTGTAAGCACTGGTTGGTTTGTTATCAAGGGAAGCAGCGAGTTCCTGGTTGATGGAGATCGTGGGAAAGGGTTATTGACCCCCCTCCCACCCTGCCATCTGGCTTACCGTATCTTAGACTTACACCTCCCGCCTATCATTGTGAAAAAATGAGCTGCACATTAATGATCAAAAAATGCTCAGATTTTTAGAATTTATTTTCGATTTTCCGATTTTTTTCCCTGGCCCCACCTATTCTCTAGGGCACCCTTCCGTCCTCATTGTCTTCTCCCACTGATTGATAATAAGGGTGATATAAGCTTATTTCTCGTATATGAAAGCCTTTATACGCTTCTATAGAAAGCTGGTTTGGTAGCTATTATATTATTACTACTTGTCCTCACTTTGGAGTGACAATCCTCTTGTTTTTAACCCTTTACACCCAAACATCAATATTCATATTCTCCATACTGTTCTCTGTACATTTACTAAGGTGCTGACAGGGAGAATTTGTCTAACAATCAAGAGTTTCTTTAGTTGGTGATCATTTCCTTTATTCTCATGACATTAATGTGTGATTCAGTGGTGATATTGTAAGGAGAAATTAGATTCCAGTCACTCTTAGGGGTTAAAGGGTTAAACTTGAATTGAAGGCTTGGAGGGCTGAATTGCATGAAGGAAGAATATAAATAAAATAGAAATAAGGCCTTCTATTTATCAATGAGGTCTATTCTTTTGAATTTTAAGAAAAACTTAATCCCTGATTCTTTATAATTCTTCATTTCTAGGTTTTTAAAACCTCTCTTTATCATACAAGCAGTATTCATTGTAAGGGAGCAGAAATGCAGAAGGAAGCACCAGGGACAGACAAAATTAGACCAAGGACTAAGTCACCAGGGACAGACAAAATTAGACCAATTTATTTAAGTTATTTACCATCAAGCACCCTCTCTTCTAAGATGCAGGAGACAGGGCCTATGGCTTTTTGTCCTTATCCAAGGACTAGAATGTCTTACCACTTGCAGATATCATAGCAAAGGCAGATCAACATGTGAGCTGTGTGTGTCATGAACCCCAACCTCCCACACAGTAGTCCGGTGCTCATCCACATAAGCTAACCAGGCGGCATTATCTTGGATGATGCGATAAATTGACACTAGCATGTTTCATATGATCAGTTGGTTTAGCAAAGTATAATAGTGGTAAACTGGTTTCCAACCTGACCCTGAAACTTCTTGCAGGATTTTGTTCCAGCAGTACTTTTGTATTGTGTACCACCCCACTCCATCTTGCTGATATGTCAAGTGAGCCTGGAACAGGCTCACTTGACATATCAATACTTACAGCTACATTTTTTTCCTGTTGATTCATGAACATTGTGACACTTGTTGATAACATCAACCCTTTCACTATCAAGATCTCATTGGTAATTTTCCTTACCGTCTGCAATGCAATCATTATGATGTTAGTATGGAGAATGTGGTATTGGATCTACCAGTCATCCTTAAATCAATATTCTCATGACTTGTCTACTTGAGACTGTACTGGCATTGTAAAGATAAATTCTGCCTTGATTATAAACAGTGGTGACATCAGCTTGGAAATATTTTTGAATAATTTAATTTCAACATAGACTAGAAAGGATTTAACATTTCAACAGATCTTTCCCTTTATGAAAATTGAACTCATAGAAATGGACTAAGCTTGTGTTTCCTTTCCTTGTAGGGCTGGATGATTTGTCAAGCCTATGTTACTGGTGAGAGATACAACATTCATGGAATCAATAGTTACCTGGGGAACATGGCAAAATATCAGGCAACATTTATACCAGAAGGTACATAACAAAATAAAAATATACCTCTTATTAACCAAGATCAAAGACCATACTGTAAGTTATAGACCATGTTTTTTTTGCTGTTTGGATTTATTTTATTTTAAAGTAAGGTTCTGTTACTTATATTACTTACTAAGAAAATGAGGTTAGGAAGATACTTATTGTTTCAATTAAAAAAAACCTTTGAATTTTGTGAGGTGTACAGAGAAATATGGTCCACTCAATTGACTAATCATAGTGCTTGTGCCAACAGAGAGATATACTAAATAAAAGTAGGTTATGAGTGCTATGCTGGTTTTTACAATTTTGTAATCATTATTTGATATTTTTTTGCCATCATCTATTTTTTCAGATGAGCCAAATGTACTTCGAGTTTGTATTAAAGACAAAAATGGTGAAAATAGTGGAGAAGTGTTCTTCTTTGGGTGAATTTTATTGCTCCTATATTTATTTAATATTAAGTAATGGTGATATATAGGACTGAGTGGAGTTCAATTCATTCTGTAATCCTAGGAGTGATAACAAAATTAGACGGCCATGTAATAGGAGTCTGTTTGTTTATCACAAGTCTAATTACAGACTGAATTGGACGATGCAAAGTCTTATCACCAATGAATCATAAGAATTACAATTTCTTCATTTTGAAGAAAGCTTCTAATTTAGGAGTCTGAACACTGTTTCCATGGTGATTGAAATCAAGGTTGTGATTGGTTGATTTAAACTGTAACTTTGAATGTGATTGGCTTATTGAACTGTTCAATAACATGTCCAATAACAACTTGGCAAGTGAATTAGTGGAAAATAGGAGTTTTTCAACCAATCATGATTGAGAAAATTGTAATTTTTATGATTAGTGTAACTATCAGAAAACTTATTGTCAAAGCATGGTTAATCAAGCCTTTGAGTATCAGCTATTACTAATTTTGAAATGAATGTTAGGTAGCATATTTATTAATTTTAACTTGATATTAGCTTTGACAACACAGAAAATCAGAAGGCAACTTTTTCCCCCCTTGCCATTGAATAATAGTTGTTAGAAGTTTACTCTTTGATCCCTTTAACTCTCATGAGTGACCAAGAAAGAATTTCTCCTTACTATATCTATACAATATCATGCAGACAAGTGATGAGAATAAAGAAAAATATCAATTTAGGAATTACTAATTGATCCGATACCAAATTCTCCAAACTAACTTAATGGGAATCATTTGGCAGACAGTAAGGAGAATTACTAATTAGATCATAGGAGTTAAAGGGTTAAGTGACCAGCATCTCATTTCTCCTTACAATGTCACTGTTGAATCATTCATTAAGATTGTGAGAATAAAGGCAATAATTTCCAACCATAGAACCTTTGATTGTTGAGTGAATTCTCTTTATTACCACCAAGAGGATGTATAGAGAAGGGTATGGAGAATATGGATATTGATGTTAGGGTGTACTGGGTCAAAACATACATGTCAATTTGTGGCACTCATAACACAACAAGGTGTTTTTCCTTTGACAGATGGCTTGGATCTTTGGTGCTATGGAATGTTTGTAGTGCTGAGGTATGAATTATTCTCCAATTGGGTTTACGCTAAGTTCACAAATCAAATCGCAGGCATCCCAAGCTCAGGTTTGAACAAAAAGCAATCGATTGATTCATGAAAGCGCCATGCATTATGTGATGCAGAACCATTGAGAATTTGGACATCTTATAGGAAATAGTATGAGGAATGAGATATGGTCAATTTAAAACAAATATTTTGAAAGACGAACATTTTATTTGTACAAGATTAATAGGACTTACTCACTGTTTGTTATGATTAAGTATTTTATATGTTTCTGCTTTAAAATGAATTTAAAAAGTAAACCAGCAGAAAGTTGAGGGTACTACTTAGGATTTAGAAAAGGCCAGGTGAATGTTATTGAGATATGTACCTTAACAGTCACTGTGACAATTTCAAAAAACCAACCATACAATAAACAGTTCTCCCTGTCACTGAAAGATACCAAAGTGTACTGGTGCTTGTTGAAAAAGTGAGATAATTTTCATAGCCTATTCACATACCCAGAGCTGTGAAATCTTCTCTTAAAACTATTACCTTGAATTTACTTTAAAAAATGATTTTAAAACATGATTTCATTCTTCAGGAGCAGTTCTTTAAAAAAATTGCACAGCTATTCCAAGATGGAGGCCTTGATATGGCACTTACTGACACGGAAGATGAACAACTGTTATTTTCCTACTCCAAGTGAGTGGATTTAAAAATATTTTGTAAACTACCATTTTGAAATTTGGGCTTCCTCTTTAAGTCTTTTATTTTTCATCTCAAAATATATTTTTTGCCTTTATTCTAGAAATTCCACTGCTCTCCACAGTGGAAGGATAATATTAAATGAAAATTCAATGGAAGACATAATGGCATTAGAGAAATATACTTTTTCAAATGCTTTAGCTTTGTCTGGTAAGGGAAAAATTACTGTACAAAATTACCTTTAAGTAGCTTAAGTGCACAGTGGCAACCAGTTGATATTATACATATTCCCCATACTTTTTTCTAAACATTTCCTATAGTATTGACGAGGAGAATTTGTTTAACAATCAAGAGCTTCTTTATTTGGTGGTCATTTCCTTTATTCTGAGACTCATGGCCTTAATGTGTGATTCAGGTATGATATTATAGGGAGAAATTAGATGCTAGTCACTCTTAGGGGTTAATACAGAATTAAACAGACTACTTATAGACCAGTGTAATATCAGTGTAATAACTTAGCAGTAACTTGATTTTTGTTTGTTTCTATGCGCTAGTTAAACTTGCTATCTGGGAGTCTGTCTTAGATCAATATGTGGAGTCCATACAATGGGTCCCTGAGGTGAGAAGTTCTTAGATTTTTGAGCAAGCATAGTAAGCAAAACCTGACTGAACACTTTGAATGCAAACTAGTGGCCACATTGAAATTTGTATCCACAGTTTTTAAGCCAGTCATTCTACTTTTTGTTCAGTTTTATTCCTGACTTAAATTAATTTTTATTTTATTTTTAAGGATTTAAGGAAAGGAAGAAAAGTAAGAATGTCTAGAAAAGAAGTGCTAGAGAAAACAGGAGAACTCATTTCCCTCAGGTACTGTTGTGCGTGATTAAGAATTTTATAACTATTTTATTTTGTACCTAACATGCTTTATTCTCAGTTAAATGCCTCCAGCACTAAATCCAAACTTAGCCTGGCAAACCAAGCAGGTATTTGACTTTGGAACTTTCAGTTGGGGCTGGAATTTATTACCCAAGGTTTTTACTTTCATCTTGGCATTCACAGATCTGTTTGAAGTAAATATTTTAAAGCTGCAAACCCAGTAACAACTGTGAATTTTACTCCAAAACCTGGTGCTTAATGTTGGAAATATGAGGAGTTAGTGAAAAAAAAAAATGAGAAAGAATAATTCTATGCTAAGTTTCAATGACGCATTGATCCTCATCAGTAATTCTCCCTATTGTCCCCCACACTTTACTTATAGTGTTTGTTTGGAGAATTTGGTATTGGATCTATGAATTATCCACTCATCACCTTATCTACTTGATACTGTTTTAGTATTGTAAGGTGAAATTCTGCCTTGGTCACCCAAGGGAGTTAGAGGAAGAAGTAATTTTTGATTGAGAGGTGGAGGATAGGCTTTGTAAAAACTTTACGTCATTCTCATGCCAACTTCATTTTCATATGAAAACCTTGAAATATAGTGTGTTTCTTTGGCTGAAGTGCCAAGGGTTCATTTACATACTATTTCTCTGAAACTACTTCTAACTTTAGAGTTATTATCATATAGTTACAAAGTGTGAAAAAGATAATCATTTGTGAGACTTAAATAAGCTTTACAAAGTATTTAGTTTATATTTGATTTGCTTGGATACATATCCTCATGCATTGTGTGCCTGTGTCACTCTTAATTTACTGTTCTCTATAGACTTAAAGTCTTATTTTTTTGTCAGGTATAAAATCAATTTGTCCTCTGATCTTCTGATGACCCCAGATTTTTACTGGGACAGAGAAAACCTGGAAAACTTGTATGACAAAACTTGTGTCTACCTTGATATTCACAGAAGAACAAGGGTAAAATATGATGTGATGATTAATTATTATGCTATATATTGCGGTGATTATTCCAATAAAGATCATTTCAGTAAAAAGTTCAACCAAGCTACTTACAGAGAACTGGGGAGATTTTTGGAGATTTGGAGATGCTCCCAGCGTCAAAAACAAGACCAGACCAAAACAGTACAAACTCAGTGGTCTTGTAATTTGACTGGGAGTGTGAGTTCTTCAAGGTCCCCTGCTGCACAGTGTTTTAGATAAAGGAAACAAAAGCCACTGTTTGTAATCCTTATCCAAGAAGACTGTAATGTCTAAGTGTTTGCTAAGGTCATTAGACCAGCAGAACATTTTCCATGTATAGTTACAGTGTATTTAAAAACTCTCAACATTAGACTGGTCGGGGGTTCGAACCTCATTCTCCCCCCCTCACTGCTCATTAGTCTATCCCTCTATCAGTTGGTGGTAATCACCAGCCTGCATTTTGGACTTTATAAATCACATTGAATACAAAGCAACTCTACATGGGTGTCAAGCTACACTGACAAATGTTTCTTGTTCCTAGGTGATGAATGAGAAATTAAACCATTGTTCTGAGATGGTGGAGTTGTTAAGAACACATCTCAGTGAAAAACACTCATTCAGGTTGGAGTGGGGAATAATTGCACTTATAGCAGTTGAGGTACTATATTATCACTGGTACATTATCATAAAATTACACAAAATGTAAAGGCAATATCTTATCCCTGTACTCTGTAACATCAGTATGCAGATTCCTCATACTGTTCTCTACACATTTCTGAAGGTACTGACAAAGAAAATTTTTTTAGCAATCAATAGTTTCTTTAGTTGGTGATCATTTCCTTTATTCTCATGACCTTAATGTGTGATTCAGGGGTGATATTGTAAGGAGAAATTAGATACCAGTCACTCTTAGGGTCAAAGGGTTAACAGTGGAGTGTGTTACCATGGAATGCATCACAGTAACCAAAATCAGGGCCTGTTGCCATGGCACCTCATCTGCAGTTCATTGCACTTTAAAATTGTTTCGATTTTCTCTTCCTTTCAAAAATGCAAACTTGCACCCAAAGAAGTCTTTGTTCCTCCTCTTGACTTAAATTTGGGATACTTTTCCTGAGATAAAGATCAGAATCTCCTGAGTTCTCCACTGGGATAGTGCTAATTAAAAAACCTAATATTTCTTTTTATTACTGTCATAGGTTGTCTTTGAGACATTGTATTTAATAGAGAGATACTTTCCATTCAGATGACCTTGGCCTGAAAGAAGACCATATCAGAGCAGCAATCCAAATATTTTGTTGCACTTATAAGGAACCTTAAATGTTTTTTTAAAAATTATTTTAGATGACCTTGTCCTGAAAGAAGAACTTATCAAAGCAGCAATTCACAACATTTTGTTGCACTTATGAGGAATCTTAAATGTTTTTAATAAAATTATTTTGGATGACCTTGGCCTAAAAGAAAACGGATCAATATCAGTATCTGGGCAACTGCCCACCTACTCCTCCCTTAACTCAACAACAGTCAATTGATAACAAGTTAGGGTTAATGTTGGGTTAGGGGAGGGGTAGGTGGGCAGTTGCCCAGATGCTGATATTGATCGAAGAAAACCATATCAAAGCAGCAATCCACAACATTTTGTTGCACTTATGAGGATCCTTTAATGTTTTAAATAAATTTTTTATACACTGTCACCAGAATTGTTTTTTATGGTTTTAGTTTACTTACATTTCAATAATTAAAATATATTTAACTAGTAAACTAAAAATCTGAGACAATTTGAAGAAAATACAAGAATGTCTTTACTGTGCCACTGAATGGGAAAATCAGGAAGACAGGTCCTTGTCGTTATCTATTTCTATAGGTTCAATTTTTCCAGTGGAGTGTCCAAAGAAAAGAAAACATCCCAACAGAATGTAACTAAGGTTAAAAAAAAAGTTATGAACTTGGTCAACATGTAAAAAAAAAATATAACGATTATCACAGTATCAATCAATGAATAATTTATGTTTCATTATCTGCCTCTGCTATCTTCATATGACCTTAATTTAACGATCTCTCGCAATGGGACTCGGAGAATGATGAACACTAGAAATGTTTATGGGATGTTGATGTTCTTATGTTGCAAAGAAAGAGCCAATCAGGCATTATGTAACTGCTTGTAAACCTCTATGGCCAAGGTAAATAGTTTGTTGTTATGAGGTTTGCACACAAGTCTTTAATTTCCTCATGATTGGTTGGTAAACAGTTGACATGTCAGAATCAAATCAAAGTGTTCGTGGTTTTCTGTGTCTCACAGAAACTATTTCCACTCGACTGCAAATCATAAAATTTGCTTTTATTTGTTAAGTAATAGATTATTACTTGCTTTTGGTCAATCCTTTGAGATAGACACTGTGAGAACTTGCCAATAACACCTACAGATATGTGCTTTAGTTATCAAAACTAAAGATTAACATGGTTAGTTTAATTAACCTTTTCAATCCTAAGATATCATTAAGGAATCTCCTTAATGTTTGCTATATATTTATTCTGATTTTAATTGTGAGAAATTGGTGTTGGATCAATAACTAATAACCTAGTTGATGTTTTCCTTTCCTCTCATTACATGTATGCTTGACATTATTATGACATTGTATGCCAGGGAGAAATTAGAAGGGTTAGAAGAAGCAGCTATCTTGCTCTAGCATCAAGTTCTCATAACTAATTTACAAGGAAATGTGTAGCAGCTGGAGGGGAGAATTAACAATCAGATCTTGGAGTTCAAGGGTTAATTTATAACCTTAGCATAGGATAAAATGAGTGAAAACTAAGAATATATGCCTGAGCTTTTAACGACTGATGGATGCTTGAAACATAATAGCCCCAAAGACAAAACAATTAGCTGCAGGAAAAAATGAAAAACACAAAAAACAAAAAAACATTTAAGACTTCTCAACCCACATAAAGTTGCCACTGCCAGGAGTTTCTTGAATAAAAAATCTTTGGCAAACACTTTTCCCTCTTCATTCTTGACTGTAGATCTAGAACTTGTTGATCTTTTCTAACAAGTTTCATTTTAAATGATCATGTAAACCAACAAGTATTAACTTTTGTCATTCCAATGTTCACTAGGATTCTCTCTTCTTTCCCACACTGAAAATGATGTAAATTTTATTTCATCCATTTCCAAAGCTTCCTGCATTATTGCCTAAAAAATAAAAAAAATATTTTTTTCATCATTATGCAAAAATAAACTCATTTTAAGTTACCTGTACTTTGTAACATCTCCACTATAAGACAAATCCATGTGGAAGAGATTGCCCAATCACAACTTGATACCACAAATTATCATTTTAACTCAGAGTAAGGAGCATCTCTCATTAAATGTTATGATCTGAAGTCTCAGAGTTACACCCTGATCAGATGCCAACCTTTTCACAAGACTAATTCCCACTGAGCTATGCTAACAATTTTGAATTTGAATTACATTTTGACTTGGATGCCAAACTTGTATTATACATTGCAAGCACTGTTTTTTTTCTTCTGTATTAACCCTTTACACCCCCAACATCAGTATGCATATTCTCCATACTGTTCTCCATACATTTCCTAGGTTGTTTACAAGGAGAATTTGTTTAAAAATCAACAGCTTCTTTCATTGGTTATCATGTCTTTCATCCTCATCATTTTCATGCGTGACTCTGAGGTAATGTTGTTGGGGAAATTAGATGTCAGTCACTCTTACAGAGTTCTCCTTTTCAGGCAGTAACCGGTAACATTTACTGCCTGAAGTACCTCATTACCATTTAAAATTGCATGGAATTCTTGAAAATTCAACAGGTAAAAGGATTACTTTACTGGTTTGAAAATTTATTTTACCTGTTATGCATAAAATAAGGGAGAACACTGCTCTTTGTGGGAAAAAGAGTTAAATGAACAAACCTTTGCTTCTGGGGATTTTGTAAATGTGTATGATAAACAGCTACGGAAGGCCTGAAAATATATTGAACAGTCTTCCATACTGCCATAGATGTAGTATTTGTGGAACTGGTTCCAGGATGCTGTCAGCAAAAAATCAACATTTTAAACTTCCTAACATTTTAAGGCATACTCATTTTTTTTTAATTAATTTGTGTTTATCATAAGATATCAATGACAAGACATTGATGACAATGAGGTAAAAAGTGGTAACACTTACATCGGCAGATTCTGAACTTATCAAAAAAGATATGACAACTTGGTCGCTGCAAAATATAACAAAAAATAAAAGAAATGATCAGGTACAATTATGACCATCCCAGGTAAGTTGCAACTCAAATCTTTGGCTCCCAGTGGTGATTGCCATATGCCTTCTCCCTATAATATCCATACATTATCCAGAAAACAGGTAATGAGAATATTCCAACTTATCAAGTAGATGCTGTTGTCTTGATTTAACACCAAATTCATGTGACTAATTTGCAAGGAAATGAGTACAAGCTAAAGGAAAGAATTTAAAATCAGATCTGGGAGTGAAAGGGTTGAGCAAGAGCAGAAAAGAAGCCTAGAAAAAAATTCAGGCTTTAATGGGACTTGAAGATGTTACCTATAAAAAGACAAAGATGGGTACAATATCAAACATGACTTAAATACTAAATCAACATTAAAAATTTATATCAAAACCTTTACAACCTGTAACTCAACGTATTCATATCAAATCAAAATTTAAAATTTATATCAAAACCTTTACAACCTGTCACTCAATGTACTGTCTAGATGTAGGTCTTTATCATGCGTAAATTTAAACTGCAAATCGTCATGTACGTACTACACGTGCCGAGTGAACAAGATCACATAAAAAAACTTTTCCTACGCTTACAACATTGAAAGCAAATGGATCTTTATAAATTGTGGCTCTCTCCGGGTGAAACTTCAATTTTTTTTTGCATTGATGAATGAACCACCTCTCTACTACACGTGTGCCGGTAGTTATGATGATGACTGACTGAATGATCAATATTACATCATTCGTTCATGCTAGTTTTCACTAATGTTTTTGATCTGCTGTTTACGAATTTATTGAACGACATTGTTTTCAACAAAGACGATCAGCTTACTTTGAACTCTGTTGCTGCCACTCTATCTTTTTGAGAGTTTTCTTCCCCCAAGACGGTGGTCACAAAGTCGGACATTATTCACTACAATCAATGAACAAATTATTACAGGCTTTTACATTGCAGCTCTGGCAGCTAGGAGTTGGGTTCTAGACAGGGATTTTTTCCTTATTGAGAATCAAATCGAGGCGTAGGGTTGAGAACGAGGCCAATCGAACGCAAGGGAAAAAGTTCCACGATTATTTGGAAATGTCTGAACCGAAACAACTCCAGCTTCAAGTCGAAGGGCTCAGTAATTTGATGCAGACTCTGGAAGAGCATAAGGGGAAGAGGAGAACGGTGATGTTTATCGGTGCTATGAATGAGAATGGCGAGAGCTGGTGCCCCGATTGTCGAGACGGTTTGTAACTCGTCAGGAATCTTTCGTCCTGGAAACTATCAGCAAGCTTAATTATAATTTCAAGTCTCCTGTTGAGAAAACTGGTTTCGTCTATTCCATATTGTTAAAAGCATTAAGAGATCGGAGCGATACATTTTCCTAAGCAGTATATTGAATGTTTTTTTACTGTTGTCAACCATCGATCGTCTGTATTTTTTTCAGTCTGGACTACACCCAGTCGATTGTAGATAAGTCAGCTGATTTTAATCACGCACAGTATTAGAGAAGGGAATATTTTTTTTATGCAAAATTTTTTTTACCATTGCGATCCATGACGATTATGGGAAGAAATCGATATTTCCTCAAGTTGCAATATTCTTGGATTGATGACATAAATCGATCGAGTGTCAACTACTTACCGAAACGTATGAGTCACAAGAATAAATGAATATTCATTTAAAAACTGAACATACTGTACTCATTGGCGTAGCAATGAGAACAAACTTCTTATTTTCTCTTTTTTTCGTGTCTCATCACTCCCAATTTCTCATCAGTAATTCTTTTTACTGTCAGCTATGCAATTCATATGTTGATAGTTCGGAGAATTTGTTTTTGGACCAACCAATAATCCCCTAATTGACATTTTTCTGTATTCTCATCACTTGTCTAATTGAAATTGTATTGATATAGAAATGAGAAATTTTCTCTTGGTCACTCATGGGAGTCAATAATTCCCTAGTTAATAATTTTTTGATTCTCATCACTTGTCTGCTTGATATTGTTTTGATATGGTAAGGAGAAATCTTGTCTTGGTTATCATGGGAGTTAAAGGCTGGGCGAAGGTTCACGCAGAATGAAACTTTGGAGTAATATTATTGTTTTGAAAATGGTGTCATAGTTGTAGAGCTGAAGTTGTAAGGCTGAAGTTGTAAGCCATGAACTGATAATCTCCCTTAACAAATGGAGTTTTCAGTCATAGAACTGTAATTTCTAAGCCTTCAATTTTAAGTTCTGAGAATTTTAAAACAATACCATTTTACTAAATCTTTGATATTGATTTTTAGCTGAGCCAATTGTAGAGGCTGCTTTGAAAAAGGCCCCATCTGATATGGTGTTCATATTGGTTATTGTTGGTGATAAGCCTGAGTAAGTATGTCGCCATTGGTAAAATCAGATAGGATGAAAAAAATTTTTGCTTCCATATTTGTGGTTTTGCATTGTTTGTTATTCTTACAATTGTTTTACCAGCTGACAGCTTTTTATGCAAAGGGGATGAAAGCAAATTCGCTATGTGATATAAAAAATGTTCTTTTCCATACATTTCCTTTGATACTGATAAGGAGAATTTCTTTAACAATGAAAGTTTCTTAGGTTGAGATCATTTCCTTTATTCTCATGGTCTTAGTGAGTGATTGAGCTGTATGCTATATGCTCCTACAGTGTGGGTTTAAAGGGTTTAGTGAATATATATATCGTTAAAAAAGACAACTTCATTGGGCTGGTTATTTAAACAAGGTTAAGCTGTCATCTAACAAACTGTGTTCTGAACTATCTTCAGTTTAGCTGAACCTTTTATCTGAAGTAATATTTATTAAATTAAAACAAACCTTTTACAGGGAATAACTGACGCCCATTGCTTGTGTAAAACCCAAAGGTGGGTTAGACCTCATGTAAATAATCAGCCCATGGGGTGTAATACCCATGCTCTCAAGGCAAATGTTTGAAATTGTAAGCTTAATTTGGATGAACATTCTTAAAAATATGCACTCTCTCTTGTCTAAACTAAGCAGAAAATAGAACTTGACATTATAACAGGCTTTGACCTTGTAACTCACATGAGTTACTAAGACAAAACTTCCCTGTACAATATTAATACAATGTCAAGTAGACAAGTGATGAAATTAATTAAGGAATGGTATTAGTTGATCCAATATCAAATTCCCTGTGCTAACATCACAGGGATTGTATTATAGACAGTTAGGAGAATTACTGGTGAGATCTTGAGGGTGAAAGGGTTAAATATCTACATGTTTATGTGGTGATGGTGACTAGCTATCATATAGTTGGCTTTCATGCAGTGGTATTGTTGCTTAAAAATCAGACCCAGCTTGTGCAATTGATACTGCAATAACACTATCTGCTGGATATTAATTTCTATCTGTCCGATAGCAAAGTACATTTTGTTAACAGTTATCTGCTGGATAGCAATTTAACCAATAGATAAAGTTATACCTAGAAAGACTGGGGCCAGGTGGTAATTACATGATTCATTTTTGTTTCAATAGGTGGAAATCACCTGATAATGAATTTAGAACAAATCCTGCTTTCAAACTGAAAGAAATTCCAACAATCGTGGATTATGGCACTGTAAGTGAACTTGATGTTGATACTGGTAATTTGCAGTTATTAAATTGATTTAAATGTTTTGTCTCTCTCTCAGACTTAAATGTATACGTGGCAGACACAATAAAGTCCAGTCCCTTTTTTTTTCTTAAAATATTTAGTTCTGAAAGTTGTAGGAGAACAGCCATTCTTGATTGATGCACTGTTCCCCATTGCCTATTTAGTGAATAAACACATTTTGCATGAAAGGACTCACCTCAGATGCCTTTTTAGTTCAACTTGATAGATGGGTTGTCAGTAAAGCATAGGAAGTAACATTTCTTTAACAATCAGCTGGTGCCATCTACTCTTAAAATAAAAATAATATTTTTCTATCATCATCTAGCCTAGCCTTTTGATGATCTTTACATTTAATTTTTTTTATTTTTTAGTTTGGATTTGATTTCAGGTATATTATTACCATTTTAAATCACTATCACCATTATTATGGTAAAACATAAGTAATAATAAGAAGTGAACTTTATTAGCATATCTTGTATCTATCCTGGTACAGTAACTGTAACTCAATATGCATTAAGATAAAATTTCACACAGACTTACAATACAATCATATTCTATATGAGTGTATTCTATATTCTTTATATAGCTAAATTTAATTGCATATTAAAATCTAACAATTAGAAAATGTTCAAAAGTTGTCCATAGAGTGTGAGTGTGTAACTTGACCTATGTGCACCATCACTACCATCCAACAATCATTATTGCTATAATTATTATTAGTATAGTATCAGTTATTATTATTATTATTATTATTATTATTATTATAACTTTCCTGATATATTTATTTTAATTGTTATTATTATTATTATCATTATTTTTGGGTATAGTGGGGCATCCATGAATTTGTCCAAGTGACACAGTCTAGTGTCAGTGCAACTGACATCATGACGCAGATTTCTTAATTTATCACATTTTTTTTTTTTTCAGGACAAAAGACTTGGTTGTGAAGATTGCAAAAATTCAGAGATAGTGGACAAATTCTTTACAGAATGACAAGATAAATCATTGTCTTTGTCCTTCACCCTAAGCTGTCACAGCATAAGTTACTTTAGGCAGTGTACCCTTTCACTCTGTTTCTGTCCAGTAATTAGTTGTGAAATGTGCCATGCCTGTAGAACAAGTTACGCTGATTTCTTCAACTGTAATTTTGCCCAACTTTACTTTATTTTCAAAATTCTAATTTAAATAATTTATAAAAATTAATATAAACTGTATGGGTCTTGCAAGTTTAAAAGAAATGAACAATAGAAGTGTGACTTATTCTTCAGTAAGAGAATAAAGATTTTCATCCGTTAAATATTTTTTTATCAATTTTAAACATTATTCAAAGATAGGAAAATTTTGCTTTTAATTTACTTTGAACATCAACCTTTTCTCTCCCAGCAGTGATCAAGATTTAATTTCTTCTAACACTACCATTACATTATAAAGCAGACAAGTGATTAGGATAAACAAAAGTATCAAGGAGGGAATGCAATTTGAATTAAATCCAAACTCCTGCAACCAACATTATGAGAAATGTAGGGCAGACAGTAAGGAGAATTACTATGTTGGGAGTTAAAGGTGTTAAACAGTTAGTTGATTCCCTGAGAAAAGTAGAATATATTTTAAATTGACTGCCTGTCACATTTTGCAGCTAATGATACAAATAGATTATCTTAAATATGGTGAAATTAAATATTTGAATTAAGCTTAACTTCCTATTTTTTCTGATGTTGTGAACCGAGAAGAGTTAGAAATATTTACCAGTATTAGAGTTATTTTTCTGGTTTTGTGTATGTAGTTGTAGTGACTGATTCGTTTTCAACTACTTCTGTCGTAAATACTTTGCCTTAAAGCAATTGACAACAGGCAATAAAGCTTTGACGAGATGAAACTGTGGTTAAGCTGTCAATCAGTGTTGGCTTCGAGCTTCTTTGTGTGAATTCACATGATTCCCTCTAGTTTAGGCGGAAGCAGACCCTTGTTATAGGTGAATAATGGGGTAAGTTTCTAAAGAAACTGTGATGCTGCGTCAGTGGGAGATTATAACAGGGTAATTTAGAAATATCAATTGAGTTGATAACGTAAATTGGCCACCGTAAAGAGTTTCAAAGCTGACGTTTCGAGCGTTAGCCCTTCTTCAGAGCAAATGGCTTACGTAAGAAAGTAAAGAAAGTAAGAAAATATCAGAACAAAAAATGGATGTTAGCTTCCGTGTGGCGCGTAAACATCAATTTTATTCGGATTTTATTTTTACTCGTGCAACGGATTTAGCCGAAAAGCAGGGACTGCTCGTAGTCTGATCACATGATACTAAGTTGTCGTCATTTTGCTTACTCGTCGATGATTGGTTCATTCTTGGAAGGGGGTAAAATACTCAACTTTGATTGACCAGCATCCGGAAGAAGCGGATCATCTTGATCTTAATGCGAAATAATGATTGAGGTAACAAGAGAAATAAACTCTTTCCTCTCGCAGGTAGTCGAGATCAATGCCCTCTGAGCGTCTGGTAAGGACGTTAAGTCTTCTATCTATTTTTTGTAATCGTTCCTCTGTGCACCTAAGGAGACTTTTAAAATTTAAGCAAAATGGTTCTGCATCAGAGCGACACATGTTAACAAAAGTTGCATCATCACAAAATAATCTTAACTCAGGTCGCCTTTTTTCTTCATGAAACAACTCCATGAAGCGCTCCCCAATGAAGTGCGCCATTTCAAGCTCTTCTGCACTTTCTGCATTTTCCCGGGCATCAGTGTATGATTCGTTTAGAACAGAAACCAGCATATTCATAAGAACTATCGTCATCATTATCATGAATGACAGAACAAAGGTTGGGCCGATGAAGGGTTTATCTTCGCGAAGTTGAGCAATTGGGACTGCTTTTCCTAACAGAAATTGTAATTGTGAAAGAACTGCGAATAAATAACTGGAGTAATGGGGAACCACGCCACCAAAAAGCTGCATTCCCGTTACGACAAAGGCGTTGAAGACTATGAAGAAGAAAACCACGTAGGACAGTTGGTACCCAACAGACTGACGGAACGATGAAAATAAATAAATCACGTAAGGATTGAAACGAATCAAATTCAAAAGCTTCACTGTTACCATGAAAATGGCGAGGGCAATGGAAGCGTTCTCCCAGTTTGCCCAGTTTAAAGCAGAGTGAAAATGAATTATTTCGAAGGGATTATTCTGAATAGCTTTAATGCTGTTCAAGATTTTCTTGGATCTTATCATATAGCTCATGACGGACGTTATAGAAGAAATGATCATTAAGAACTCCACCATATTCCAGACGGATTTGAAAAATGCAAACCTCTGTCGGTAGAGGTGATACAGCATCATAATGAAGAGGAACAACACCATTGCCAAGAACAAAAACTGACAAATGAGATAGAACATACCAGCCCCCGACTCTGTAGTATATAGCTCAAGTGTATCCACCCTCATTGTAGTGTAGGCTGCACCAGACGCAATCATTTCGTAGATGAATGTAGCAATGCTAATCAGGTTCGTATTGATATTAAACGCTGCAAATTCTAGAACTACAGCACGGGTATGACGATCAAGCCACCCAAGGCCCATAGTCTCACCCAAGACGCTATGCGCTGTTTGTGCATCGTACCCCAAGACGGCTACGTAACCGCCTCCTCCATAAGTGTTGTATACGGCTTTGACAGGATCGATGCCGAGCTTTTCAGCTTTCTGGTAGCGCCATGGTTTTGGGCAGATTCGAAGAGCCTCTGGCCATGATGTATTGTCTGGAAGTGGCCTCCATCCGGGAAGGCTTAACTCTGTTGTATCCTCCATCTCTGGAGAGTAATCGTAGTAGCAGTTTGGTATAATTTTAGGAATTGATTCACAGGGACCTTGAAAGGAAAAAGAAAACAGAGTACCGCAAATGAGAGGGGGTTCTGAAGTCTGAAATGGAGAGGAGGAGGGAGGGGGAATTTTATTTGTCAGAGCTCTTTCTGGTCTGAATTCCATTTCCATTCTTGTTTTTAGCTTGTGATTCATATTTCCAGTGACTCAGATTCCACCTCCCCGACCGTGAAAAAAAGTGCAGATCTCAGTTTCCACGTTATCTCTTCGAGCTCCTCTAAACGACTTTCAACCAATCACGGTTTTGATTAAAGAAAAAACGACAACAACCGAAATAAATTTATAACCTACTTTGATGAATTCTCAATTGTCGCATCCGAGGCATGCCAATCAAAATAGACATCTTATTGGTGATGTACACATCCTTTTTCTCTTCAAGGCCATTGTACCAGGATTGGTCATAAATGTTTGGCAGAAACTCCTGTCTCATCCATACCCACAGTTTCTTTGAGTCAGTGACCTAAATCACAGATCACAGGATTAATGTGAACTGAAAAGTTGCTTAAAGAGAACTTAACATACAAGATAGTGTATGTTAATTGGAAAAACACCTGTTACTGCAATTCTTATCGGATTTCAACCAATTCAGTCATGGACACCTAGGGAACTACAGACCAGTTACTTTTCACCGCCGGGTGAGATGAGGGGGGGGGGTTGGGTGGGATTTTTGGGGGGATCACATGGCTTTCAGGGGTAACGGATGGGGGGGAGGCTGGGAGAGGATCATTTGTTACAAACAGAGTAGAAAGGGAGCACTATAGGAAGTGGACTACTGATTAATTGTCAATAAGACGGGGATTCTAGGAATGTTACGGGGCCTTAGTGGGAAATCTGGTTAATTTTATTGTGAGACAACCAAAATCCTCCAAACCCCCACCCCAGGCAATAAATAATGATCTGTACCTTTTTTTTTCTTGTGACAAGGTAATTCGATATTATCAACTGAGTTGATAACGTAAATTGGCCGCAGTAGAGGGTTTCAAAGCTGACGTTTCGAGCGTTAGCCCGTCGTCAGAGCGTATCCCTGCTTTGCAGTTAGAATATCAAACTTGCAACTCTCCTTTCGGTGACAGGTTTAACTTCTCGACTCAAATGATTCATTACAGATATTCTGTTAGTCTATAACATGGCTCATTCAGTGGCATATACAGAAATGCATTTCCTTCAAAATAAGTATAAAAGAAATTTGAAATGATTTCTTCTTTGAATTACTTAAAAGAAGTAGATCTTACCCGGTCGAACGTTGTGAAAGAATTCCTCGTTGCGATTGTCATTAAGAAACGATTTCCATTCTTGTTTCCGTAAGAGACGATAGACAGGAGAAACATAAATATTAAATGGAGGACGATTTGTCTCGCCATACTTGTCAGTTGAGCCTCTTTTCTGCTTCGTACACGCATTTTTTCCATGAGATTCTTTTTAAAGCGTTGCTTAGGGTTTTCACTTAGGAAATCTATGTCATCATCTGGTGGGTCCCCCTCTTCTACTTTGTTCTCTTGCTGGTCTTCTTTTTTATTTCTACTCAAAAGGAAGGAAACGCCGAGAACTGCTAACATGACCTTTGTCGGTTGGGTAACAAAAACATCTTGTCCATTTGAGATAAGAATGGATGCGAGCCATTGCTCAGCAACCTCTTTTCCCCACATTAAACTGTAAAATAGCGTGAACGCTGCAGCAGTCACGGTGGTCATAAAGCAGAGAAACCAAGCCATGCATATACAGAAATGAGGCAGCATACAGCCTTTACCGTTTACTTCATCGATGAGTTGTTGTACTTGGTAGGATTCTTCATATTTGTCTGCTTTTTTCTCTTTGGTTCTGCTAGACTTAAAAAGAAACACGATGAGGACGTTCACTGGTGCGACTATGATGCTACTTTGTACTCCAATGACTATCTGTCTCGTGGAAAATTTGAATGGTCCGATCTGTATTGCTCCTACCGACTCTCCACCAATGTTGTAAAACATGGCATTAGCAATCATGGCACTGAAGAGAACTGAAAGACAACACGACGCTCTTTGCACGCGCGTGAAAGTACTATTGCACGCTTTTCCAAACACTGACATCCACAAATGACTGTCGGCTAGTTTCCTTCCGAAGCGTGATCTCACCTCTGCCGAGAAGGAAGTGACACCTTTGCTTTCTACGCTAACCTCTATTTGCCCATCGTCTTTTTCTAGAGCAAGCCATCTATTTACGGGGAACACCCACTGATCCTTCGTTTGTCTGTCTCTTATTACCACTGCCTCTACAAACCAAGATGGACTCTCTCCCGAATTATCGTGTTCCAAAGTTATTTCATTTAAATTTCCTAACGATTCATTGGTAACTAGGACAAAACCATTTACACTTCCTCGACCGAACACAAGGTTCAAACCTCCATTTCGTCGCAGGGGAATTTGATCGTGATCTTCATTTTCCCCTTTTATGCTAATTGTTACGTTTGCAGTTGTTGCTGAATCCCTCCAGACGCCAGTACTAATAACCATGTCGTAATAGTAAGTTCCTTCATCAGCAATATTTACACGTTGTGGTGAGCAAATCTGCAAGTATATACTCAAATGATGACAGAAATATGATTCATTAGAAATGGAGAGATTTTAGAACTTGAGCTCGGTAGAGAAATAAATGATTGTCATTCGTCTAATCACGAACGTGGAAGGAGAAAGAAGTACGCCAAAATACCCCAAAATGCCCATTTCCCATGAGGAATGGAACCCAAGACCTTTAAATTCCGCGCTCTTATGGTCTACTACGGAGTCATTGAGACTCTATGGTGAGTTATGCCATAGTTAAGTTTTTATGTGACTCACGTCCGGCATATACTGCTAAGATCGATAGTATCGGAAGCGTCATGCGAGTATCAACATTTTCCTTTGTTCCTCTGCTCAGCACAAAATTCACCACCTTTCTTGTTCCAATTAATGACACTTTTGCGTATTCTGGCGCGATCTTTAACCCTCGGTCACTGATTTCTTAGAAATTATGTTCGTAGCTGAGATTCAAAGGCTTAAGCCTTTGGAGTGAATCTGCCTGAGGGGCGGTTTTTTCCAAACCTTAATGATTTCCCTTAAGTTATTTTTTGATGAAGAATGAAGAACGGGTACGTTCTTAACTGAACTGCGTAAGGACATCCCTAAGAACCTCCGCTTATTCTCCTCAAAATGAAATTACCATTAAGGAACTTGCGAGATACGTGTAAGCTTATTCTAGAAAAGCAGATATCATGAGTTTTAAAATAAAACAAGAGTTAGGAGGATTCCCTTTGGAATGAGGTTATACAGGAGACTGGGTATCTAAACTTTATCTCTAATGCTGTATTGAAAGTCTGGTAAGTACACATGGAAAACTCTGTACATACTATACTACGTTAGCAAAATTAATAATAGGGACCTTAAGCAGTCAGGACGGCAACGCCGAGGAAGACTTCGATTAAGAGATGAATTTCTGCCTTTAATTAGAATTTCAAAAATGGCTGCATGTGTTTACCGTCTCATATGGCGCCACACCTCAACTTCAGCACAACGTATAAAAGAAGCGTTGAGTTCCAAATGGAAATTTAAATAATTTGCCGTCGCGGTTTCGGTTCGCGGACGACGCAAGTTGTGGTGATTTCAATGAACGAAATTTTCTGCCAAATAATTTTTGTTTTTCGTGTCCTCGTTGCCGTCGCCGTCGTGATTTGCTTAAGGTCCCCACTGTAATGGGTAATACGGTCATGGGTTCAAATCCAGTACAGGCCTAAATTTTTGTCAGGCCTTATTTTCACTACCGCTTATGAAGTGTCCATTATTCCGAGGATCGCTTTCATATTCAAGAATAATACTTACGGTTAATATATGTCCATTATTCCGAGGATCGCTTTCATATTCAAGAATAATACTTACGTTGCTCTCATCTTATTTAGAACCACTATCAGACCAGCTCCCAAACACCAACACGATCGAAATCAGGCCTGAAATTTTTTTCAGGCCTTATTTTCACTACTGCCTAAGTAGTGCACATCACTGCGAGGATCACTTTCATTCAAATAATACTTACGTTGCTCTCATCTTTTCTGTCAGCTCTCCTCGCAAACACCAACACGATGAAATAGGTGAGGAACACACATGCAATTGTCACAAGCACCGATATGTTGCCAGACTCACTAAGACGCGAGAACTCTGTGAAAACTTTGTCAAAATCAATAGGATTGGGTTTTTGAATGAAGTTTCCACCAAAAGACGTCAAATGATTGCAGAGGCATTTGAGATGCGTTGTGTTGGAACCTGAATCGACCTGCCATAGAAAGATCTTGTATGAGAAATAAATTCGTGGAGTTCATGTTTAAGCTTTTGCCAGGTAATCTTATTTAAAATTTTTAAAGATTATTATGAAGATGTCGCAAATTGAAGAAAGATGCAAAGCAGGGTTCACGAGCCTAATGCAAAAACGAAAAAACTCAAGCCAAAAAAAACAAGCATCTTTCTATTGAATGTCGTCAAACAAACACCTTGGTAACTGTAACGTCCAGTCAGATAAAAGAAATTTCAGCAAGCCAACTAGAACTCGAGGTAAAGCAAGAACACTGTTTGAGGCGCGGGAAAACCCAAGTGAACAAGTCACGTGTGGTTTTAGTCTAGTTTTTTCAGAACAATTACGGTACAAAGTGAAGGAAAACCATTGCAATCGCGAATAACTTTGGACAGCCAAGGTATTGAAAAAATGAATTGCACAATCTTGCTACTCTGGATAGCCCAACTACTCTGCGACATCAATGTCGATTTGAAATACTCCACAGATTACCGCTGGATTGAAATTGAATCCTTATCAATGTACCTTGCAACCATCAGAAGTCCACTTTTCCTCATCTTCAGACCAATACAAACAACTCGACTGAGTTACAGTGAAAGTGTAGTTGACATCAGAGCGTGGGTCATATTGAGGTACGACCGTCTGATGGACACCTTTAGGGGGAGGATCTTTGACACCAACACAGGATCTTCTCTGACGCCCTTGGCCAAAGCAGGACCTCTTCTCTCTTGCATGTTTGCTTTCAGTTTTTGATAACTCCAACAATAAACCAATATATATGAGAGTTGGTTTCGTCGGAAGAACTGTGATGGTTTTCTCGTCGAGATGGCAAGAAGATTCGTTCGGTACGACCTTAGTCGTGTTCCCGCATATCGAAGTGAACCTAACAGTGACGTTAAGATCAGAGCTCTCCGTTGAAGGCCTCGATCCAAATTTCACAAGCAATTTAATAGATGTGTTTGTTCCTAGTACGCCTAACGTGATGAAAACAGGTACATCTGCTAGCTCTGCGTAGTAGCTTCGGACAGTCAATTGGTGGGGCTTCAGGAAATGATGTTCGATCACTGTTTTGTTGTTGGTCTTTGAGGGTGGGCTGGAAAGTGGGATGACGATTTCGATGTAGTTATCCAGGTTTGTAACATTCAGTTTTGCTCCATTTTCCGATTGAAGTTCAAGACTTATAACACTGGATTGGACTTTCGTGCTGCTGTTATCCCAGCTGAATGGATTAAAATCAACAGCTTTCATCTGCCAAATGAAATATGGAGAGAAGAGTCGGTGGACTTGTTTAATGCTGTTTTCTAACGTACCAATGTTTTCTTTTTCCTATCTTAAGTTAACATGTCGCTCGTTGCAATGAAATTGTGTCGCATTTTCGTTCAAAGCTCTTCCTCATTGAACGAAACAAACTTAGAAAACCTCCGACTTTGGTTTCCTTGACTTTTGGACGAGCTATACTGAGTGAAAATTCATAATAACGAGATGTTTATATCAAAATATGTATTTGAAATTTTCATAACTAAGACGAAAAGAGGTTTATTCGTCTATGGGAAGTCGCTGGGCTTGAATTGCACAACTTTTCGCCTATTCAAATAAATAGATTCCATGTTGCCGTGGGTCTGTTCAATGACCACATATGACTTCAAAATGTGGTATCAAAAAAAGTGTGGCACACAAGGCGCAGCAGAGTGTGTGACTGATGTTCTCATCATATTTTGACGTCTTCTCTGATCTATTGCTGAACAGACCCACGAGGGGGTCGTCCTCCTATAGATCATATGTAAGAAACAACCAAATACCTGCATTCTTCAGCTCATTATAGAACATTTTGTCGTAAAGTTCTAAAGCACTATACCTTTGCATTGATATTTCCATCGCCCACATTTCCTAGGTCTCCTGGTAATTTAAATTTTGTAGGCCCGTATTCCATACCTAGACCCTTAACGTCATTAGCGGACACCTTCTTTAGGGAAGTTGTCAAGCCGGGCGATTCAAGTACAAGATTTTCTGAGGGAACCAGGCGAGCAAAGAATGCATCGTTCATAGCGTCCAACTTTTGAACAGCCTTTTTCACACTATCCTGTAATAGTAAATTGATGAAAGCTAATGTTGTTGCGCACTAAAGATCATTTCTCGAAAATGATTACCCCATCACACAAGTCGCGCTTGACAGAGATACTTTGCGACCGTGATTTTTCACTCCTTTTTCCATTGCAACCATGGTGTACTTTGCGTTTGTCTCAGCTTAAGCAAAAGCGAGCGATGTGCCTTAAGTGCAGGAAAGTATGAGTCACTTGGAGACTGATTGGTTAAAAGTATGGCGCCAGGTTTCCAGATCAATCAAAATCGAGCAAAGCGTCCGAAAGCGTGGGAAAATAACTGCGACTAATCAGTCAAAAAGATGATGGGAGTTTTCTAGAGCAATCTCAAAGCTTGGCCACGCAAAATGACTGCAATCTTGAGCTACTTACCATACCTTTTCAGTGAGAGTAATGGTGTTTTCCGTGGAATATCCGCTTGCATTATTCGATCTCGAAGTCGATTGAAGAACATTCTTGAGACATGCCGTCATACTCTTCGCCGATTCCTCTAACTCCGCAGAAAAAGGCTCCTCAATGTCACCAAGGGCATATCTCAGCAATTCTGTTGTAGTATCAGTCAATTTCATCGTTTCGTTCTTAAAAAAAGTAAGGTAAAGTCTATAGTCGAGTCGAGTGGCCCACCCAGCCGGAGCTTTTCCCGGTTTCCTCGACATGAAGCGACGAACAGTACACTACTCCCCCCTGAATGGGATGCTGGTCCATTGCAAGGTTACCCTTTAGCATTTGATCAGGCTTCCCTGACAATTTGCCGTTGCTCCTTTTACTCATTAGCGTCACCCTAAGAGTTCAGTGTTCTCTCAAGAACGCAACGCATTGACTCGGCCAGAAGCCCGTTTCTCGAAAGTCACGGTAACTTAACGGGCCTAAAGCCATGTTTTGAAATAAAATTTAAAGATTGGAGATGCAAGTTGTGGCACTCTAATCACTCCATTTTGTTTCTTTAGATGAAAGTTTTATTGTATAGTTCTCAAAACTTGTGAAACCCCCCACTTTGAATGAAAACAGAACGGCTTTACGGACCCGTGAAGTCACCAGAGCTTTCCAGAAATGGCCTTCAGGTCTCGAAACCAAGACTTCTCCATCTGGACTTCTCGACCTAGACTCCGTTACGTCACCGCGTCTCCCGCGTTCATCCTAAAGATAGACACTTTATCTCAATACCTAATACAACATCTTACAATTCTAGTGTTACCCTGAGAAGAGTCTTGACGTGATGAAGCTGTTGACTCTTTGCGTTAAGAGATCAAATCTAAAAAACATAATAGTTATGTATTTTACCGCAGTTTTTCCACAGCTATCACAGTCCTTGGTTTCTTGGTCTCCCCCTGCCATTCTGACCACACTCATAATCATTCGAGACATCTGAAGGTCCTCCGGCGTAATGGAAGTAAATTTTTCCACTAAAGTGCTGGAAATCTACTCCAAAAGAAAAAAAGAAAGATTGAAGTGAAAACGCAAGAGAATGTCAGAACCGAAAACGTGTGGTTTTGTACAAGGAAACCGCAATCGGAACCAATGTCAGTATCTAAGTCCTGCCCACCCACCCCTCCCCTAACCCGATATTAACCTTACTTTGCTATCAGTTGCCTGTTGGTTAGTTAAGGGAGGGGTAGGGGGGCAATGGCTAAGATACTGACATTGATTCCTAAGTTGTTTGTCCAGATCAACGTTAACAACACTGCTGCGAAGAGAGGGTGGATAAAAAAGCCAAACGTCTGACAGGAAACATTCTTTTTATTCTTTGTGGCTTTCTAAAGATGTTTCAGCGGGCGAGGGGTCGTCTTAAATGTAAAAATTTGACTTTGCATTTTTTTCAATACACCTACTAGTGCTTTCGTATCTTGGCTTAGTGGTTTTCCGCACTCTGTTTTCTCGTTGGCTGACTTGAGGACACTTATAGCGAGCTGGGAAGCCTTGCTGATTTCACCTATTTTTAGAAATCCATCCAAGTTATTGTTTTTTCCAATTATTAAACTTTTCAACTCTTTGGCAGCCCGCTCTTCCACCGTTGGGGGGCAAGTATGAAGCCCCGAAGAAGGCATCACCTGATGAAAAGGAAGAGAAGGAACTCATTAAGAATGATGGTGTTTGGTCTTGTCCCGAGCGTGGGACAAAGAAAAAATTCTGAGTCCACTGGAGGAGTCGAACCATAGACTTTCGAATTCCGCTGTTTGACGCTCCGCCACTCAGCAACAGAAGCCATAAAGTGCGAGATAATAAGATAAGATCTCCCAACCTCCCAAGTGTTTACATCAGGCTATGTAAACATGGAAACCATTTTACATTTCTTTTATAAAATAACTAATGAAAGAGTCTTTTCTTGCAACGAAGGAAAGCGACGTGCTTGTTGTTGTTGTTCAGTTGACTTTTCGGCCGTTTCTTGAGTACTGGGAAAATTACACTCCAAAGAAAAAATAGGAAAATCTTCTTCTTCCATTACTGTACTCAAAACAAACTTAAAGAAACTGAGTTACTGCTAAATAAATAGCAGGGAGAACTCCGCGAGAAGATTCAGTATGAAAACCGTGTTTACATACGCTCATGTAAAATGGTTTTATGGCCAATCAGAGCGCGCGTACTATTTGAATTATTTTATAAAGGCAAATATTAACTAACTTATCTTAAAAGAGTCAAAGAGGGCCATAAATTTGTATCGTTACCTTTACGGCAAATTTCTCAACAACAGCCACCCCAACAGCATTCTTGATGATGACATTGACTGTTAATTTGTAATCGTTTTCAGGTGAGCCAGAAGGTAAAACTGTCGTCACTGACTTTGAAGAAATGCCGTAAGAAATTGGATCTTCTTCAGCGCGAAATTCATAGGTCAGCGGTGTACTTTTATCTTGCCAACCGTAACATTCAAATAAGAACTCCGTCTCCATAGACACACCCTCTGCGGCTGATGGCCTGCAGTACCCACTGTGCGGCTGTCCAGCGGTCTCAAACTCGAGCACTGCAAACCCCTCTGTTCCTCCTGGCGATGTTGCAAATAAAGCCAAGCTATATTTGGAATTTGACTTCAAAGAATTCTTTCTAATGATCATGTTGGTAGCATTTATTGCAGTTGATGTCATGTTGGATAAATTAGTTACTGGTTCCCACCGATTGGAATACAAATCCATTCTATTTAAAAGCCACCTGTACTCTGAACCATTGCAAGGCGAATTGAGACATTCTGACGTTACTCGAAGCTTGTTAGAAGCCGACACAATTGCGCCACAGTCGACAAAACACCTTAAACAAAAAAGAGGCATGAGGTACCGGTCGATATTTGTCGCGTGGGGGAGGGGAGGGGGAGGGGTAGAGGAAACGGAAGGGGATCAGTCGTCGCCAACAGAGTTTACAGAGGGACTATAGGAAATTGACTGCCAGTTAACAGCCAATGAGGAGGAATGACATGAACATAACTACGGAGCCCTATTGTGGGGAGGGGGGAAGTAACATCTGCTACATCTGGTTTTGGTGCATTGCGCATCACCTAACACCGTAAACTAAATACGATCTTTAATACGCTTAATATAGGTGTTGGGTCTAAAAAAAGCACTCAATCTTGGTCTCCAGATCTGACTAAAGGAGTGTCAGCTGAGTTCAGCTTCCCGTATTTTTATAACTTTCGTTTTGATATAATAGAAGACAAATCTCGACTTTGGATTATGCCGCTTAGTACAGGTTTCAATGTTCAAATCTTGGTACGTACCTTAGACTGATTTGAGGTATTTCGTTAGCGGCTATCTCAAAGGACATTTCCGCAAAGTCACTTCTATCATCCTTAGGCACAGTCAGCCTGAGAACGTAGGTTTTATTACCAAATGTAAGTCTTTTAGGATCAATTCTTACTGCTGTTAAGTAACTTTCTCCGACAAAAGACCCGGAACAATCATTGCTGAAGGAAAAGTTTTTTACAGGGTCATAACAAGACCAGGTGAAGTTAACTCCAGTGTGGTTTCCGGGTCCAATATCCGCGTCGTAACTAAGTGAACCGTCCACTGTAACAGCTTTGCTCGACGACCAGCGAACTTTGCTTCCTCCGTCGATTATAGCTCGTACAGGACCTTTGACAACTTCTAGAAAACCATAGTCAAAAGCAGTGAGAATTTGTGAGGCATCTAGATCCCCAATTGTGATAGAAGCAGTGAATTTGACTTGATAGATGCCAGCCAGAATGGATCGCCTTTTTATGGTCCATTGTGTTGTTCCTTGACTGACTAATGTTCCATTTGGTGAATCAAAAAGTTCCAGCTCCCGTTCGCCAATTAAGCGCCATTCCATGATGCTTTCCAGTATAGATACATCATCTCGTAGTCCTGCAATATTAGCCTGATAGACACTTTTCTCAGAACGCTTGATAACAGTTGCCTTGTATTTGTCCTTGGAGATGTTTCTTATCGCTACAGAGAAGTCTCCTATGTGCAAAAGATCATCAAGTTCAGGCGTATATAGGAACTGAATCTGCGACAGATTCAAGATAATTTAGAAGACCAATAATTAAGTTACATATGGTAAATCAGGATAAGGACATCTATCTATCACAACCCAGGAAAACGAATTTTGATACAGAGTGCATGTTTTTCGAGAGGCCCTTAACATAATCGACGGCAACAAGAAAAACAATTTCAATGATGTATTTTCAACTCCTTAGTTCGCATATTATTGAAGAGCGCAGCAAATGTTTGCTTTTCGTGAGTACTTTACTTTAGCCCTAATTTGGAACCCAGATTTTTACTGTTTACCTGAAATGACGCGCAGTCGCCGGAAAGTCTGGGTACGAGACTACCTAGCCTGGATCTTGATCTGTTGAGTCTAAGAGGAGAAGATTTTCTGTCTCGAAGATACATCCTTAAGCATAAATGATGGTGTGTCTCATCCTTTTGATATAAATTGGTATAAATGTCCACTTACCTGAGGGTTTACAAGAGAGCCCGTCACCAGGATAACCTGTCCTACACTTGCAGGTGAAGGAGCCATTATTGTTGTAACAGTGAGCTACACCATTGCAGTTGTGGGTTGCCGTGGCACATTCATCAATATCTGCAGGAATGCATTTTACAGTTCTTGGCCATTATGAAGCCAAAGGTACATTATGAATGTTTAGGTATGGCGAAAAGCTACTGTTAAATTGGCTAATAGACTTGCACTTAGATTTCATGTTTCGTTTTTAGCACAAACAACTAAAGCTGGATGTACGCGCATTTTGTATTCTTTAGTTCTGCGTGATCTCGCTGCATGAATTGGAACACACAAGACGGAATACATCTTTTTGTAAAACTTTACTGAATATCAACTCATCTTGACTGAACAAGCTAAGTTTAGTTTCTGGGCTGATAGAAAGTGCAGTTTTCAACCGAGCGCCGGAAAACAAAACCCGCAAGTTATCCCAGCGATTAATCAGAACGAAGCTTTGAAAATAATGTAAAAATTGATTATTCTTGGCTAATTTGATATTATCAACTGATTTGAAAACGTACATTGGCCACCGTGAAGAGCTTCAAAGCAGACGTTTCGAGCGTTTGCCCTCATCAGAGCTCGAAACGTCAGCTTTGAAACTCTTCACGGTGGTCAATTTAAGTTTTCAAATCAGTTGATAATACCAAATTACCCTGTTATACCCTCCCACCGACGCAGCACCACAGTTTCTATAGAAACTGACATCCTCTATTCATTGATTACTCTTAGTTTTATTTGACTGGTGGAGAACAATACAAAAAGGCTTTTGGGACTGAGTTCACAGAGGTGACCGCTTAACAGAGGTTAAAATAACAGTAATTGAGGAGTAAAATTTTCGGGACTTTGACAAAAGACCGCTTAACACTGTGTTGTTGAATGCAGTTTCGACTGTAGCGACATGCACAATACTTGCACAATTGAATTAATCGTGGACGTCCCGGGCGATTCGCAAAGTGTAAATACCTTACAGCAACGCACGACAAACATGCATCAAGCTTAAGATCAGCTTTGAAGAAACCATCTCACCGGTACAATTAACACCATCTCCTGAATATCCTTGAAAACAGGCACAGACGAAAGAACCTAGAGTGTTAGAACAATTCGCTTTCGAATGACAGTTGGGAGTTGCAGCTGTGCATTCATCAATATCTGCAATAGTCAAATATGGCATTAATTCGTGTACATAACTTAAGATGCTTTTAGAGTATTTAAAACGTTGCAAACTGTCCCATGAAATTGTTTTTGACTCTTTGGATCACCGTCCTGAGCGAAAATGTCCATGGTGCGTTCTAAACAACAGAAACGCAAAAGGGCGGTTTTACGAAAAGTTTTTCGAATTTGGTGTTACTGACACCAAGTGCAAGGTCTTAGGACAGCTCACCAAAAGGAATATTTTTTCCATGATAATCCTCTTTAAAAGTAATATTTATTGTATTGCAAATTATCTAATTGGCCTTTCACTTAGAGAACGTAGAGTTATTACACCTGTACACTGTCGACCATCCCCCGAGAATCCTTCCTTGCAGCTGCAAGTAAACGCACCATCAGTGTTGGTACAATTTGCCGCTTGGTGACAGTCATGAGTGTGGTTTGTGCATTCATCGATATCTGAGATCATCACAAGAGATATTGACATAAATATTTATTTCGAGCGTTTCTCAGTGAAATGATGATGATAAGAAGGAGATGAAGAAACATAGCGTGATTGATAAAATTATCATTCGCGTGTCAGTTGTGTTGAAGAAACTTCTACTATGCTGAACACCAAGATATGGTGTATTCTGTGGCTAAACAAATCGGATCTGTTTGTACTTGAATTGGTTTGTAATTATTTCGCCAACCGACGAGTTCTTCTTTATTGACTTCATAAAAAATTTTTTCCCAGTAAGAAGAGCTGATTTTCCCTTCGATCATCAAATCAATGAGCTCAGCGGTTGATGATTGCAGGAAAATTTTAATCCCTATCTGCTTGTTGCCATGGTTCGCTTTTCTATTCTCAAGATAAGCCTCACTCTCAGTTTGTCCAGTAAACCAACCCCTTACTTCCATTTACTTCTACATCAATTTTCTTTACTGCCAAACATTTGTTTTAGTTTGAAGTCTGAAAATTTGTTTTTTCTTCCTTCATATCAGCATTTTTCCTCATAACGTTTTGATGCGGTGTGGAGAAGTTAAATTGGAAATTAGCCATTCAGCGATTTTAGACCCACACTCTTGCAGCGACTAAGCAGTGTGGTTGATGTAAGAAGGAAAAAGAAATAAAGCTATGGAAAGGAATATGGATGAAAGCATTTTATCAAGGAGATCGTACTGCTATTTTCTGCCGCACGTTTTATTTCTTTTTTTAAGAGCTTATGGACATTTCTTACCATTACAAGTTACACCGTCTCCAGAATACCCATCGTTGCAAGAACAGTTGAAAGAACCGAGGGTATTGTTGCAAGTTGCGTGGGAGTGACAGTTGTGGGAATTCGCCGTACATTCATCAATGTCTACCGTAAAGATTTAAAGGAAACAAAAGATGCAGTTATTCCACGATGTCAGCAAACGGGAGAATCAGTAATGACAAGAACAAAGGGAAGATAAAGTGTGACCTCATTTTAAGGATCTCTTATAAACACCCCCCTGGGAGAGAGAGCGTTGAGGGAGTGCTAGGGGGGGGGGGTGTATTACTAAGGTTCTCACCCCTTGACCCTGATCATTACAAATTTGTTGATTTCCCTAACCTGTTTGATAAAAGAAATTATTTACATTGTGACATGTCGACTAAGGGGAGCCGTGTTAGTACAGAATTTCTCCCGAATCTCATTCAAAACCCGCAGTAGAACCACGCCTAAATGCTGCAGATCGCCACGTTCTCTTAAAAGCCTTTTTGAAGGCTTTTTGTCCAAAAAGACACCTTTTTCAAAACACTAAATGAAAACGTTGTATCTCCTGAAAACTGTAATCTATTTGGTGTCACATACCCGTTAAGTCATAATAAGGAAGTTTCCCCTCTAGGGTTGCAGGCTCTCTAGTTTGATGGTTACGATAAACTAATTTTCAACTCAGAGTCGATAGTAATCGAAGGTTGCTTTGGTTTTGCTTTACTTCTCTTTATGATTGGTCAAAGCTGAAACTCGCACCTTATTCTTATCCTATCAGGTGTAGAACTAATCAGCCAATCGCAACTCGGTCACTAGCGTTTTCCGGGTTCGCCTGATGCTTCAGACAGTTTGCTTGTTTTCACCTTGAGACCCAGGTGGTGTTTTTCTTTCTCTGATTGGTTGATGTGATTATTCTGGTTCATGGTTTTACGACATTCAATTGAAATGCGCTCTAATTAATCATGGTAATCGGACCGAGTGGAGTCCAATTCGATCCGTAATCATAAGAGTGATTAACAAAATCGGACGACCACAAAGCGGGAGTCCGATTTGTTAATCACGAGAATGATTACGGACAGAATTGGACGACACGAAGTCCTGTTACCAATTAATCAAAACTATGACAAAATTTGAGAAAGAAATTAGACATCGGTTATACGTCTTTATATATAACAAAACAGCAACAACAATCAACTAAGCGAAATGCGAGACAACAGCGCGCGCACATGACGCGTTCTGTCCACTTACACGGGCATGACGTTTCAACTTTCCCTTTAACTGTCATATTACGTTATCCAATTAAAAGCATGACGCATACACTGTCCTATTAGTGATCAAATCGGGCTGGTGATAACCAATCGCGTTCGAAAATTTTCTGTAGTTTTGATTGCAAACAATAAGACTAATAACCAGCTGACCTTGGCATGGTGTACCCGAATAGCCTGATGGGCAGGAACATTCCGTTGAGCCCGCACTGGCTGGACAAGCATCATTCTCATCTGTTCAAGAGGAAATGACTTTTGTTTAGTGGTCTTTTATTCATTAATTTAAAGCTTAGAAATGAAAAGAAAAAATATCATTTTTCTTTTTTGTTACGAGCTCATTTCATTTTCGAGCTTAAAATTCACCATTTTTCATATTCAAGTTACTCCTATGATACGTCCCGCATATGAGCCTTGTGATGACCTTGACTCACATTTTTCTTAATTTCGTTTTCTCGCCTAAAATTCAAAATCTTTTTTTATTCAATTAGCTATCATATTATTATTGTTATTATAATCGTTCATTTTTCTATCAAAGTATGTTTTTTCAAAAGCGTGCCTTCATGTCCATGCAAATACTAAGGGGTCTCAATGGGGGAATGGATTTTACGGCTAAATGTTAATTTTTTCAATTTCGTTCAGCAGAAAAATTTTTTGCGGTCAACTTTTATGTCTGAAGGTTAAATTTTTTTGGCCTTTTACGGCCGCTAACGGTTGACCCCATCGTCAACCTCGCACTAAAAACATTCCGTGTCGAGCAAAAATTTTGATTTCTTGTTCGAAAACTTTAGAAGTTATCACTGTAACTTAACAAGGAGGCGTAGTGAAATCACGTACCGTTGACGCCGCAGTACCGTGCATTACAGTGGTCAATAGTGGGCGGTAGTGCATAAACGTAATATCCACTGCAGTTACGTATTTCAATGTAGAGAGAATAATAACAGCAATTTGAGAGATAGTGCATGCAGGCCGATCCTGAGACCTTCTCATAAGCTTTATTGGGATGATGGCCACTGATCCAGCCGGACATGTAAGCGTCGCAACTTTGTTTTGGAATACAATAAGTAGCCATCATCACGCCAGCAGCCCCCATGAAGCCGTACCAGTGGCCGCTGACCAGATGATTATCGCATTTGCTGTCTCCCCTTGTGCCCCAGTATCGGCTTGAATCATTGAATGTGTTGTAAGTGGTGCATTCTGCTGGGATAGAAGGCTCTGTTGAAAAAGTAGTTCAATATGTCTGAGTTAATCTGGAGCATTTCAATGGGGGAGTAGCTTTCAAGGTTGACGATTTTTTTCCAATTCGACGGTTGAAAATCAATTCAGCGCTTGTGCATGATAAGAATGTCCTTCTTGAGTCTAAGCTAGCTGATTTACTCTTGTATTTTGTGCTAAAAAAAAAATGATGTTTTAGGATGTCGTTTTGGTCTATCAGAGATGAAATGAAGCAAAATTTGGCAATGCGCTCACCACTCGATTGTAAATTGTAAGTGTGAGGACTTGGTCTGAAATAAAAACTAGCTTCTTCAAATCATAGGTCGAATTAGTCCTTATGCAAGCATCTTCCAATGATTAGGTTGTTGCTCTATTGTCATGCAGGAAAGTTTAGTTTTTTCATTAAATAGTTTTACTTATAATCGGTAGCTCTTAGGCAATATGACGATATCTACTGAAAATCCACCTCCAAACCTCGTTTTCACCAAAATATTTAAAACAAAAATTTGTAACGTCTTTTGGTTTGATGGCTCGCCTGCCATGCTGTGATATTTAAAGAAGTAATGTTTTGGCTATACCTAACTATTTAATACTAAATAAGTGTTTCTTCTTTTGAATCAATTTTCAGTTGAGGGTGGAAAGTTTTACAGAATTATATTGGTTTTGTTCAATTTCGCTTTGTTATTGGTATAAAAGACTTATACCACTCTCCTAATCAATAAGATGCAGAACCAAAACCAGCCGAGCCTTTGTAATTCGCATTTTCCCGCGCTTCAGACGTGGCGCTTATTTTTACATTTGAGTTCTAATTGGCTCCTCCTGATAGGGAAATTTTCAATTGAGTGTCAAAATCAATCCGGGATTGCTTTGTTTCTGCTTTACTTTGCACTGTGATTGGTCCAGAAAACTCGCGCCACTCTATCAACCAATCAGAAACAAAATTAAAACGTTGTCGCCAGCGTTTTCCCGCGCTTTAGGCAGTTTGTAGTTTATCGTTTTGGTTTTACGACTCTCAATCGAAAACCTCTTCATTTTCATGGTTAGCTGAATCATGTACCATAGTTTGGTTTTACGAAACTGAATCCGTGAGGTATTTTTTTTTTACTTTCGAGCTTGATCACCGGGACGTCGTCAAGAGTGAAAACGTTTGAGATGTTTTCATGACACCTGCAGAACAAAGCTGACATGAAATATGTAAAAAAGTAAATAACGAGGTAACTGAGGCACAAAAATAAAAAATCTCAACTTATGTTTCTGACAAATGTCTTTCCCTTAAAAGTAATATCAAAACGTTTTGCTTCAATTATCAAAATTTAAACTTACCTTCAGCTTTAATCACCGCTATCCAAGTTCCGATAAAAATCAGAAGAGCCTCTCTCTTAAAAAAAAGATAAGAAAAACAGAACGTTATCCTTGGCCGGATATGGTGTTTGTTCCACTCCATCCATATGAGACACGAACACCGCTTTCGTGTTGGTCGACGTTTTGAAACTCTGATGGCCATCAAAGGCGTATTTCTAAACCTTTACCCTCATTCAAGAACATTTTAAAACAGTCGACCTACCTTGAATGTTGAGAATGACGTTAAAACTTGCATATCCTCTTATAGTTTTGTTCAGACCTGCTTTTTGTATTAGTAAAATGTCAAGCATCCATATAACTGATTAGCAGATCGGCCGTTCTTAGGTATGACTGTATAGGAATTTTGTGTCTTCTTTTGCATCACGCACCAGAGGTTATGGATTCTTAACCAGAGCCCTTCAGAAGTAAGATAATAGGCTAGTATTTCGGATAAATTCTCAATGAATAATTTATTATCAAGAGGAAGTGCTCGGCAGTAGATTGGTTATAGTTTGTGTTCCTAGGGGGTCATTAGCAAACAGAATTGACTTTATTGAATCACAGTTGGAAGTAAAAATAAAAGTCTGTTAATTTTGGGACTACATGAGATAAAAGTCATTTTCGGCCTTATCAAGGTTAGAGTTTTGATAGCTCTACGATGAAATATCAAAGTATTTTTATTTTTCAATTATATGGAGGAGTGAAATAGCCAATTCATGTCCGCACAGCCTATGTTACTGAAAGTGTAACCGCAAGGAAAGGAAATTTTTCAGTATTTCTCCATAAGAAGAAAAATTAAAATATTGTGTTCATCTCTTGGCTCACCCCCATAGCTTGATTATTTAACATTTTCTAATATTCTCATAGGAAGACGCAAAAATGTGCATAGCACAACATCACTTTGATTTTTACGAGTCTGTGAATTTATTGGAAAGAAAAACGGACTCAGTTCGATTTGAAATCAGCGCTGGGAAATAAAAAAGTTAAAACGGGTCGTTGTTTACCTAACTGAATGAAATGTTTACGTTGGTTTTGTGCTTCGGAGCAAAACCTGGTGAGCCTATTTAGGAAGATATGGTATCAGTGCTGCAGACATTTAGCGCATATTGCTGAAGGCAAGTAAAAAAAATCCAGCTTAATATTTATTAGAAGACTAAAGTCGTCACGTTGGTAAAGAGAAAATAAACTATGAGAATAGCTGATGTAAGGACAATCCAACAGAACACGTGATATTGATCAGATTCCTTCACGGAAAAGAACCCCTCGTTAAAACTTGCCCCGCTTCCGATGTGTGGCTTCGTAGCTCAGTTGATAGCAGCGCCCTTCGAAAGGATTAAAATCCCGTCGAGGCCTGAATTTTTTCAGGCTTTTTTTCTACAACTGCGTAAACTACAGCTTACCTGCGAGGATGATTGCGTAATTTGGAGCACTCAATAGCATTAATAAGTGATAAGAGAGACTGACTGTTTGGTAAACAGGAACACGAAGCAGGCATGCATACCCAAGTTCATTTGCATGAGAAACTACTATCAGAAGTGGACCGGAAAGCCGTAAATTGTGAAACAGTCTTTGAAGAGAGCGACAAACCTAATATTTTCGGCGGAGTTAACTCACGTTAAAAGCAAAGTTCTCTAGCTGACTAATTACCATCGCTATCCTTTGAATTAATAATTAACGAACTGCTGGTTTTCTTACGAGAACTACAAATGAAGGCCCTTATTTCTATGATGTTTTCTAGTGACGCTCACATAGGCCACGTAGGACTGTCAGCTCGTTATTTGATATCATTCACAAGTTGGAATAAAATTCATGTTATTAATTGAAATGATAGTTTGAAAAAAAATTTTTACCACAACTATCATTTTCGACTTCTTTGATAATCGCTCCCTGTAAATGCACTCTTCTCCAAGATGAAGTCTGAGTTCAAACAGTCATTCTCACACTGTAACAAGAAATCCGCCATCAAATAGCAATCACAAAGAAATCAAGTCAACGCTTTTTAAGATTATCGGCAAAAGTTTGAACTGAGAATTGAATTATTTATTTAATAGACGTTTTGGTAAGAGAACAAAGTAGCTGAATTTCATAACATAGTGTGTGCGCGCTTTTTAGCTCATTCATACTGAAAGCAATCGATGAGGTATTGTGGTGAAGCAAATGTTGACGGAAGTTGCATTGTGGACCGTGAACGGAAGTAGTCTCGCATGCTACCCCTCCCCACTTAGTGAAAGTCAACTTAATTTCGATGAAGCTCAGAAACTCACGTGGAAAGAAATGAATTGTTTTTATAGTTTAATAAAGATAATAACGTCAAATCACAATTCTGAACTTCTAAAAATGCAACTTGCATGGAGAAGCCGAAATGTTGACACCTAGGGGACCTGTAGCGGGTTCATTTCAACACAAGCTGTGACCACGCGGACCACCAAGCTGTGACCATCAGAGGCAGCCATATTAGTAAGCCACGTATTTGCGTTCGTCTTCAATTGGTACAAAGTAATCATTGCTTTATCATTGTGCTTTTCCTCAGGAGCTCTTCAACATACAGTCCACACATCAATCACAGCGGCCAAGATACTCTCAGTAAAATTTTTTTCGAGCTCCAATATTTCGGTCCGGACTTGAGGCTCGCTCGAACAAAAACAGCAATACCAATCCGGTCAGTCAAAAATGCAGACTGCAGACTGCAGACCGGGTACAAAATGCAGACTAAGTACAAATGCAGACTGCAGACTGAGAATTTATGCTGTTTTTTCGTCTGGTACGAGATAACAAGTCATCTTACAAGTTACCGTGGAATATTCCTTGCCCGTTTCTTGATCACAATCGTTCTTAATATAATTTCAAGCCTTCATATAGTCTTTTCATTTTGCGCACGAGTTAGTTGGTGTGATGTCTAAAACAGAATTTACCAACTTAATAAAAGTAGATGTAGCTGTAGATGTAAATGAGATGTCACTATGGAATATTTAACACGCGCAATATTCGAGAAACAATTGACAGCTTTGCACGTGGTCCATATGTTTCATCTTTTTAACCGTTATGTGTTCATTTTGTTAACAATAATGCGGACCGAGACCAAAACTGTTCCTTCGACTTCATATATTTTCAACGTTCAGGGCTGTACACACACTGACTTTCACATATGTGCCTTATATTGTTATTAGCTTACACGAGGAACCGGCGAATTTTTACAGGGAAAATATGAAAATGAGATAGTTGAGAGCATAGTTTTTGACGTCATGACAAACGAGGCAGCGGAAAAGAGTTCAGATGAAGTATTTCTTAATAAATATTTATCTCTTAGATTCTTACAGAAAGGCTTTTTTTTTTTCACAAAAAAAACTATGGTCGATAAATAAATATTCTTCTTTTACTGAAGTTTCCAATGCAGTAATACTCTTCTACCTTGTTATTCGATCACAAACACCAGTGTTTCTATTCGTCGATCATGGAATTAGTACGGATTATAGGTAACTGTGGAATTAGTACGGATTATTGGTAACTGTGTGCCCAGGGTTTTCGCAGGATAGTTTGTGCAATGATACGCTATGATATGAAACTGATATCTCTTCATTTGTTGTTGTACTACGAATAGTAAACTGACCTCGTATTTTCCTATCGGAGTAACTGTTGTGAGACTTGAGCGGGAAGTAGTAGGATAAGATGAAGTCATTAGTGACTGTTACGCTATCAGGAACAAATGCAGATGTATGGTGATTGGGTAGAATAGCCAAAGGCTTCAAGTGGCGCTTAAATACGGCTCAAGAATTGATGAAAAATAATGTTGTTGCTCACTAACTTTTCTATCCTTTTTCCATTGCGACCATGGTGCACTTCGCGTTTGTCTCAGCTGGAGCAAAAGCGAGCGTTATGCCTTAGGCGCAGGACAATGGGAGTCACGTGGAGATTCATGGGTAAAAAGTAAGGCGCGAGTTTTCTAGACAAATCAAAATCCAGCAAAGTGCCTAAAGGTCCTGAAGTGTGGGAAAATGATTGCAAATGATCAATCAAAATGATGGTGCGAATTTTCTAGAACAATCACAAAGCTCGGCTACGCAAAATGATTGCAATCTTGAACTACTTAGGATACCCGGTTGAAGTTTTCCCTTTCATACCTTCTCAGTGAGAGTTATGGTGTTTTCCTTGGAATATCCGCTTTCACTATTCGATCTCGAAGTCGATTGAAGAACATTCTTGAGACATGCCGTTATACTCGTCGATGATTCCTCTAACTCTGCAGAAAAAAGCTTTTCAATGTCACCAAGAGCATATCTCAGTAATTCAGTTGTCGTATCTGTCAATTTCATCGTTTCATTCTAAAAAAAAATTACGTGTAATAGTGTAATTTGATCGTTCGGGTGAGTGTAGTTCTGAGAAGGACTTTTGTCGGTAGTGGTGACTGACGTTTCGACAACCTGAGCGGAATTTATCATCGGAGTAAAGTGAATAATTGTCATGGGAGCCTGATCAAATGCTGGAGGGTAACCTTGCAATGGATCAGCATCTCATTTGGGGGAGGAGTAGTGTATTCTTCATCGCTTCATGCTGAGGAAACACAACAACTATTCACTTGACCTGAATGTAATCTTTGCGTTAAGGGATCACACCGAAAAAAACATGATAGTTATGTATTTTACTGCAGTGTTTCCGCAGCCATCACAGTCCTTGGTTTCTTGATCTCCCACTGCCATTCTGACCACACCCATAATCGTTCAGGACATCTGAAGGTCCTCCGGCGTAATGGAAGTAAATATTTCCACTAAAGTGCTGGAAATCTACTCCCAAAGAAAAAATAAAAGATTGACGTAAAAATACAAGGGAATGTCAGAACCGAAAACGTGGGATTTGTGCAAGGAAAACGAAATTGGAACCAATGTCCGTATCTAACCAATTGCGCACCCACCCCTCCCCTAACCCGACATTAACCTTACTTTGCTATCAGTTGCCTGTTGGTGGGTTAAGGGAGGGGTAGGTAAGTGTTGATTCCTCAGTTGTTTGTCTAGATCGACGTTAACAACACTACTGCAAAGAGAGGTTGGATAAAAAAACCAAACCTTCTTTTTTAATCTTTGTGGCTTTCTAAAGATGTGTCAGTGTGTTACTGGTTGCCTAAAATATGAAAATTTGACTTTGCATCATTGTCAATACACCTACTAGTGCTTTCGTATCTCGGCTTAGTGTTTGTCCGCAATCTGTTTTCTTGTTGGCTGACTTGAGGACACTTATAGCGAGCTCCGAAGCCTTGCTGATTTTACCTATTTTTAGAAATCTAATCCAAGTCATTGATTTTTCAAATTATTAAACTTTTCAACTTTTTGGCAGCCTCTTCCACCGTTGAGTGGCAAGTATGAAGCCCTGAAGAAGGCATCACCTGATGAAAAAGAAGAGAAGGACCTCATTAAGAATTATGTTGTTTGGTCTTTTCTCGAGCGTGGGACAAGGAAATAAATTCTGAGTCCACTGGAGGAGTCGAACTATAGACTTTCGAATTCCGCTCTCTGACGCTCTTGCACTGAGCAATAGAGGCTATATGGTGCGTTAGGCCATTATCAGGTTATAGGAGGAAACGGAAGGGGATCAGTCGTCGCCAACAGAGTTTACAGAGGGACTATAGGAAATTGACTGCCACTTAACAGCCAATGAGGAGGAATGACTTGAACATAACTACGGAGCCCTATTGTGGGGAGGGGGGAAGTAACATCTGCTACATCTGGATTTGGTGCACTGCACATCGCATAACACCGTAAACTAAATACGATTTTTAATACGCTTAATATAGGTATTGGGTCTCAAAAAAACTTTGGATTATGCCGTTTTTGGATTATCCCGTGTGGGGATCAGTCAGGAGAGAATCCTGGAATCCGTCCGTGAGCAAATACAAACGACACATCAACATCATTTGATTTCAAAGAGTCAAAACTCTTCTTCGGATCTTTAACTTTTGTTTCTCTTTAATATTTCAGAACACAAACTGATCAAGTGGTTCTCCCTTTCACGAAGGGGGACACTCCCTCATTTGGCGCAGACTGGTTTGGTTCTCAGCTCCATGGATCTTACACAGACTAAACGATCGAGTCCATATACGTGACAAGGTATGCCCAGAGTACTGAACAATGCGATAAATAAGAAAACATTTCAACTTAGAATTCCAGCGAACGAGGTTTGCTTTTTTCTAGGGAACTTCCCACGGTGAGCCTCTTCATGTGGTGATGAAATCTATTATGGAAAATTGATCATGGTGTGGTCGTTTATGAATTAATTTCAGGAACATTTTTGAGGCGTCCCAACAGTGACGATTTAGCACATTACCAGAGGTTCCTGGGACCCTGTGGATGTGATCATTAGAGCCCATGCTCAATCAACCGTTTTAACCGTTAGATTTCTGCAACCGAGAAATCTGGGAACTAATGTTAAGTCTCAGCGGTGAGGTGGCGATAAACGAAAATGGTTCAACATTCTGTAATGCTTTGACCTGATAGCCTAAATGTATTGACTAAGCATGGGCTTTAATGATCACATGCACCCAAGAAACCCTTACAAAAATTCTCCTCCTGACTTCAGGGTTCTTGCCGATAAATTTGAGTACTTTCGTAAATTTGTAAAGGAGAACAAAGCTGGGGAATTCAGTATAAACTTCAAAGATCCAGAATCACTGCGCGCTTTGACCTGTGCGTTGCTAGAGGGTGATTTTGGTTTAAAACTCAGCATTCCTTTGGATCGACTGATACCTACCGTTCCTTTGCGTCTTAACTACATCCTCTGGATTGAGGATTTACTCGCCTGTGTTCCAGACGCCCAACGTCGCGCAGTTGTGCGTGGTTTTGACATTGGTAAGGCTTGAAGCGTTCGATAATCTGAGTGTGTGTTAATTTAAGTACTTATATAAGCTCTAATACAAGAGGGATGGACGAAATTTCACTTTCAAGATTGGTTCAGTAATTTTACCGAGACTTCACACAAAATTGGTGTCACGCAATCTTCGTAATAGTTGATAATCAATGCGTTCATTTGGTACCCTACCCTTAACTCAACAACAGTCAACTAATAACAACTTAGGGCTCACGTTGGGTTAGGGTTGGGGTTGGTGTGCCAGTTGCTCAGATTCTGACAGAGATCCAGAGCATGAATATTTTAGGAATGCATAGGCAAAATGTTTACTAAAAGCTTACTTTGGAAAATGTTTAGTGCACTGGATGTTGACTTTGAAGTGTTCTTTAGTATGGCTTTATCAAAAAACGACTTTGATATAGTCTTCAGGAACTTTTACGCACAACCCCATACTTCATTCTCCTTTTTTTAACTCCCATGAGTGACCAAAACAAAATTCTTCCTTCCCTATATCAATACAATAGCAAGCAGGCAAGTGATGAGAATAAAGAAAAATATCAATTAGTGCATTTATTAGTTGATCTCAAACCAAATTCTCCAAACCACCATTATTAGAAAAGTATGACCAACAGTAAAGAAAATTATTAATGAGATCTTAGGGGTAAAAAGGTTATGTATACAGTTTTGGATAAAAGAAACAATATAGTAAACAAGAGATAACTATTGAGATTATGGCCTTGTTTTAGAATATTATGGGGTTATACTGAAATGTTTCCCAATTGTGTTTTTATGCAACAGTAAAATGAGAGGACATTCGTTGGGATTTTGGATCTGTTTATTGTTTGTTGCTCACATAATTTTTGTATTTTAGGTTTTAGTGTCAAAAAAAGATGATTGTCCCTTTAACTGCCAATATCTGGTTGTCAATTCTCTCCTCTCCCTGCCACTCATTTCCTTACAAACTTAAGTTACAAGAATTTGGTGTTGGATCAAGACAACAAATTCTACTGGATAAGTTGAAGTATTCGCATCACCTGTTTACTGATTAATGTATGGATGTTATAGGAAGAAGTTACTTGTTAATCACTTCTAGAGTTGTAGGGTATACTTTTGTTTATCAGGCTCAGGGGCTTCCTGTATTTATGCTTTGCTGGGAGCTAAACTTAACAACTGGCATTTCCTGGCGACTGAGGTGGATGAATTGTCAGTTTCTTTTGCAAAGGAAAATGTGAAATGTAATGGCCTTGAAGGGAACATAGAAGGTAGGACAAAATATTGCATCTATAGATATGATATATGATATGATATTTCATGTGTATGCAAACAAAGCCTTCATGGCCTTGCTTTTGCGTGGAAATTCTTTAATTTGTTCTCTGCCAGAAAGGTTAATCCTTTAACTCCTAGAAGTGATTGACATGTAACATCTCCCAATAGTATCCATGCATTATCCAGCAATCAGGTAATTAGTGAGATTAGCCCAACTTATCAAGTACAAGATATTATCTTGATTGAAAACCAAATTCTCATAACGAATTTACATGGAAATGTGTAGCAGCTGGAGGAGAGATTTAACAATCAGATCTTGGGAGTTAAAGGGTTAATTTATTTGAATATGAAAAAATAGGGAGTATGCTTAAACGACCCCACAAGCTTTACAGCTTTAACAATTGTCATTTTAAAATAAAGGATTTTATTGATTGATTGATTGTCTGATTGGTAGGTTGTTATTTATGAAAGAGGTTTACTCCCTGATCAGCTTTAATGTGGAAAGTTTGAAGTGAAGGAAAATGGAAATACTCTAGTTCTCCTGACTGAAATTCCTTCAACCCTTTAACTCCCAAGATCTCATTAGTAATTTTCCTTACTGTTTACCATACAGTTCTTTTGATGTTAATTTGGAGAATTTGGTATTGGATCAACTAATAATCCCCTAATTGATATTTTTCTTTTTTCTCATCACTGTCTGCTTGAAATTGTATTGATATTGTAAGGAGAAATTCTGTCTTGGTCACTCATGAGAGTTAAAGGCTTAAACTTTAGGCTCTGCCTACGACTTCCAGTTTCACTTTTCATAGGGGGCAGAAGTACCCTCCTCAGTCCTGACACTGGCTACCACTGGGACTCCAAATATGTTGCAAATACAAATATTCTCTAATGACCCATAGAATCCCACTATTATGAGTACAACTTTGCATAGAATTTTCTTGAGAGTTGTGTCAAGCTAACGGTGTTTAATACTTGCCATCCTCTTATTGCAGTGAAACAAGTAACCCAAGGCAGTTTTCTAAAAATACCTTTAGAAGATGAGGAGATAAAGGAGTTTGATTTCTGTATGTGCAATCCACCTTTCTTTATCAGTGAATTTGAGGCATCTTATGGCAATACACGCAGTGACAAACGTCCCCAGCCTAGTGGGATATGTACTGGAGCAGAAACTGAAATTGTGACTGGAGGGGGTGAGGTAGAATTTGTCAGAGGAATCATCAATGATAGTTTACTTCTGAAGGAACATTTTAGGTAAGGTAATACATTTTGTGTTCGCTAAGTTATGTCATTATCATATACTGTAAATAGTTACCATGTTATGTTAATTGTGAGGCTATCAAGCTCACTGTAATGAGATTGTGGTTGCTTTTTGTATTCAGGGGTAAATTATTTGGAGAAAAAAAGTCTATCAGGTTTATTATTCACATCTTACAAAATTTTGCTGACATATTTTACAAAATACTGGTATACATTGAAATGGCGGCCTTCATGTCCTTTAGATGTTGGTATTGCAGAGGTGCAGCGCTCTACCAACTGAGCTAACAAGCCAACAGGGAGCTGGTCAATATGTTGGGTCTAAATAAACCATCCAAGTGATGAATAATGATTGTAGATATATACAAAGATCATATATGTGCACTGCAGCGAAGAAACAAATATTAGAGATCCTTGCAGCTATGAACACTACTGAACTAGTAGTTGTTCAGGGGACCAAGCTTAGATTGGATTACCATAGATGGCAAACATTTGAATATATGAAATGGGCATTAAAGCTATAATATTATTGTTGAAGGGTTGGAGAATTTTAAATTGAATGTAGATAATACTCTAACGGTTACATCCATTTTGATTCAATAAGCATCATAATTAATCAAAATTACTTGTATCGCATTTTATTGATTTATTTACGTATTTATGCCATTGTAAAAATGTATAAGAGGAATACATTTGCTGAAAGAATAAATAAAGAGAAGAAGGGCTGGAGAACTTATACCATTCTCTGAGTGATACATATATTTATTGTAAAATAATTAATATTAAGTTAAGGTAATGAAGAGTATTAATCCTTTAACTCCCAGGATCTCTGTGGTAATTCTCTTTACTGTCTGCCAAATGATTCTCATTATGCTAGTTTGGAGAATTTGGTATTGGATCAATTAGTAATCCCATAATTGATATTTTTCATTATTCTCTTCACTTGTCTGCATGATATTGTATAGACATAGCATGGAGATATTCTGGCTTAGTCACTCACAGGAGTTAAAGAGTTAATATATAGGATGACAAAACAAAACATAGAAAATTCTTAAGCAATGAGATGCAAAAGTAAGACCTTACTGCAACTTGTGTGATCTTATTTTCTCAAGCATTGTGTTGTTTGCATGTTTTTACTTTGAGTTCTCATTGTCTTCTTGCAAAGTTTCTCTTTGTACTCTTGGCCATTATTTAAGTTCTGTTTTTACAACACTCAGTTGATAACTTCTCTATTGTTTTGTAGATAGAATAAGAAGATGATAAGTTTTGAGCTCAGTAATGAAATAGAGAAAGATCATATTTAAACTTGCTTATGGGCCTTGCTCTCTGTAGATTCTCTGCAGCTCAGTGGTAGAGCATTGCAGTGCAGAATCCAAAGGTCTGAGGTTTGATTCCTCAAGGGAATTCAGAAATTTTTTGTCTGTTCCATGCTCATGACAAGACAACAAAACATCTTTTCCCAACTCCTTTATTGTGTCAATTGTTATGACAATGCTAGGTGTACAACAAGAAATTTTCGGAAGAGTGGCAAACCTAAGCATTGAGCTGACCAGTTGCAATAACCGGTCATTGTCCTCCTAATGGATTTTAAACTATCTGCCACTTAATTTGCCATTTAAGGATTAATTGTAAGTTGTACATTCTTTATTTTTGCTAGCTGGTATACTACAATGCTTGGAAAGAAGTCAAGTGTTGCTCCTGTTCTGGCATGTCTTAGCAAAAATGGTGTAAGTTGATTATCAACTATGTTTTTTTCACTTTCTCAACTGACATTTCATATCTGTTGACCATTTTGTCATATTTGGTTGCGAATTGGTTACTTTGGAACTTGGAAGTGGTTATTCACTACACCACAACATCAGACTTGTGGTTCGCCATGATTTGTTTGGGACAAAAATCATGACAAACCTATGAAATAGGTATCTTCTCAAACTTAGTTTCCAGGATTAAAGCAAACTTTGTATCTGATTTCAGATCAAGACAACAATAACAACTGAGTTTTGCCAGGGACACACGATGCGTTGGGGTGTGGCTTGGTCCTTCTTACCTGATGTAAAAGTCCAGGTGTGTTATGACATTCATAGTCAGTTCAGAAAAGGTCACCAATTGCTAAAAAGTCGGCTTGAGCACTGACACCATTCTCATGATTGGTAGCATAAAATGACTCTTTGCGCATCACGTTTTTAGTCAACCGTGCGTTTAGCTAAAAAAAAGATTTGCGATCGATAAAGCCGGTCAACTTGTGTTGATGAATCTGCAATCGGACGCTGGGATACTAAGTGGTGTCCAATGTCCCTGGGTAATTCTAGCGCCACATTGCGCATGTGTCGATTAAAACCAGAACTCTTCATGAATTACACACTTTGTTCGTGTTGAAGTCGTAATGTTTGTTTTAACCTTTACACCCCTACATCAGTATGCATTTTCCCCACTCTGTTCTTAATACAGTCCCTATGGTGATGACAAAGAATTTTTGTAATAATTAAGAACCTCGTTAGTGGCCGGTCATTCACGTAGTTATATGCCTTTAATGTGTGACTCAACACTGATGCTGTCAGGAGAGGTTAAAAGCTAGTCTTTCTTAAGGGGTCATAGGGTCCAGTGTCTTCCAAGAAGAAAAAGTCTCGGAAAGAGGCAAGCTTGTATATCACGATTCCCACCCTTGTATTCAAAATTATGAGGCGTTTAATCCGTAGAGGCCAGGGGACACTTCGGGGGCGCGGCTAGTGGAGGGATGGGATCGTAACGTGACGGTAACCCCCCCCCCTTCTTTATATCGATAACAAACAAACGTTTTAATTCAGGTGGTGAAAACGCATGAATCCGAGGAATCTTCTCAACATAAATCTTTATTAATGCTAGATAATCTATTTGTCGTTCCATCACCCCACGTGAATACGAGCCCGCAGATACACAGGGTAGAAAGCGGCTTAAGCCAACTCATGTAAGGAGCGCAGAAATTCATACCTGTGACTCCCCTCTTTGAAATGTCTTAACCACGCCCCCGCAGTTTAGGTCGGGATGAAAGGGAATTCAAACCGAATTCGCAGAGATTGATCCGACCTCTTTGCGCTGTAAAAATGGAAATTTCACGAGCTTTCATTAATAGTTTGTATTTTTTAGCTTTTTATCATTCATCTTCATCTCGCAGGAAATTCCCTCGAAGCGTCGCAAACGAAACAAAAAGACCAAACCCCTTCAATTCGTTATTCCTGATGAATTCATGGCCACGTCGGCAAGTTGCGAGACAGAAACTCAGATGCCAGACAGAGTCACGGCTATAGGACTTTACATAAAGAAATTACTGACAGAGTTGAAGGTCAGTAGGAAAGTTTTCCGGTTTTTATTGAATCAAAACAGTGTTCAGAAGAAATGCGATCCACAGCTGTACATGAATGTCTCTGTTTCCTGATTTGTTCTCGAATGTTGATTTGATGCGAATGTTAAGATTCGATAGAACTTAAAACCGCCCTACATTTGTATACTGTACCACAGTTCACATTGTCATTGTCATTGCCATTGTCGAATGTTAAGATTCGATAGAACTCAAAACCGCCTGGCATTTGTATACTGTATCACAGTTCACAACTGAAAAAAGGTGACCAAAAAGAACCCTTGTCCTAGAACGTTAAATTCGACTTTGGTTGCAAATCTGAACTGCAGGTCTTTGTACACGAGGAAGGAAAAGAGGACAAATCCAAAGGAATCTTTGCTTTGCAATGTCACGCTTGTGAGATGACCTGGGCACATCAGAGGAGAAAACGGCGGGAGAACCTCAGAAAAGTTTCTCCTGAAGCAAAAACATCGGAATCTCAATCAGGTTGTGTGGACGAGGTTGCGATACGAGACACTTCGGATGAAACAAAAGTGCGGACAGTATTTAAAAGCGACGCAACAGACTTAGGTGAAACGTGTGAGAGCCTGTTTCCCGAATCTTACAACCCATCGAATTCGGCCAAAAACGATTCAAATCAGGATGAAAACGCGTCCAGACCTCTTTTGTTGTTTACCTTGCGAGTGGGAGCTGGTGCCGAGATAGCTAGTAACTTGTCACGTGATGTTGTGGTGTTAGAAATAATATGGGTAGACGGACAGAACAAGAATGACTTGTATCAGTTGTTCCAGTTTCTTCAGAATAAGATTTTGAAAGGTCTGTAATCTGGTGAGTGCATCCCTTTTGAGTAATGAAATTCTACATAAGAACTATGCTTGATTATTGTTATTCCTTATTTCATAGTGTATTAAAAAAGTAGAATCAGAGTAACGATCGCATCACAGGGGCCAGCAGGAGTAAGTTGATTCCTAGGAGGTTCCTTTAAATTTTTTTTCATTGTTTCTTCCTTATTTTGACTTCAATGTACAATCAAAAAAAGGTGATGCCGCTCGTTTGGTAGATATGTATGGCTCAAGTTACATGTCAAATTCTTCAACTGCACCCATCGAGAAAATTTTTACTCCATGTTAATTTTTGAAGGCACAGGGAGAGTAGATTTATCTTAATTTTTTAGGTCACAAAATCGGTGAGTTGTGCTGATACAAAAGAACAGCATATTGTTTGTTTTATGGCAAAACCAAAAGTCACAGAGAGGCATTTACTAGAAGTATTTCTCGGATAACTGATCGTCATGACGCAGTTTTTACTCTACAGTAGTGGCTACGAATGCTTTTTATCAATAACTTTTTTGGTGCACTAATCTAAGGCATTTGAGCTTGCTATTGTGCACTGAAAAGGATGTGTAGTTTATGACTAGGGAATGAGCTCACTTAACAGTCACAGGCGCGGGAAAATGCCCGATCTGTTCTAGTTGTGGATCTGATTGATAAAGAGGTTGGTGTGAGTTTTTAACCGAAGCTAGTCACTCTAACACAGTGCAATGGAACAACACCAAAGGAAAGAGCGGATTTCTTATGCCTTAACTTTCCTTAATGTTACGAATTATGGGCTGACAGTGAAGCAGCAAACACTTTGGCACCACTAGCCCGTAGAGGTCTGTTCTTTTTTTTGTTGAAAACTTCCAGACTCCGTCGCTTTCTGATCAGATACCGGAGATACCAGCACGTACGAGCCGTGACGTTTCCTTAGATTCCCAGATTAGATTTGACCTTGCTGGTAGCTTGCACTGCAAAATGCGCATCGTTCGGAATGCTTTCCTCAAAGTTTGCAAAGCTGTACGGCTCGACGAGCTCTTCAAAATTCGCAACGGTGATTTATCTACTTGAATCAATTTTAAGATGTTTATCATTTACTGTCTAACTTGCCTAGCGCATCACACAGTGATAACTTCAAAAACTAATACCTTTGTTCTATTACCTGCCCCTTTGCCCATATTACAGGATTAAACAATTCTAGTTAATGGTGCTGCTATTTTATCACCCCATGGCCTGTAGAAAGTAGAGGATGAGGTCGCACCTCTCTTTAAGGGAATGTATGTGTGTCCGTTAGCTTCTGTGGCTACGTGATGAACTGAGGTCACTAAGAAATCCCATTAACAAATGATTTCTTTTATCCTCTTTAGAGAAAATTGGTTTAATTGGATAAGGTCTATAGGAAAATATCTCCACACTCATGAAGTAGCATACCTTGAGATGAATACGTGGGATAATGTCAAGCGTTTCTCTTCCGTTAATCGCTTTTAGTAACAAGATTTTCTTTTTGTCAAATTAGTTACTAAGATTGGTCCATATTCAGTGCATAACTGTCTTGTCAGATGATTGAAAAAAATGAATTTTTATTTCAGTTATGGTTGCTACAATTGGTCAGTGTTTGTCGAGGACGTTTTACCGAATGCCTTGTCTTTTTTTTAAAGTTATTTTAGCTTTTTTTACAATTTGTTTTTTTAAGTCAACGTTGGATCAAAAACTGGGTCAATTACTGTCTAGGTCGTCAGTGTTTGAAATTTTTTGAATTCAAGGATTTTTTTATTGTACTTAATGAGGAAAATCATTGTATAACAACCTCTGAAAGTTAAAGTAAAAGAGAGAATTAAAACGCCTGAAGTGTTTGAACGAAAACTTCAAACGTAATAATACAGAAACAAGAACCAAGCAGACTATAAACAGCAAGTTGCATTCGAGCCTGTTTGTGGCCGATGACTTGTAATATCTACCTTGAAGTTTAACAGCTTCTCTCATCGATCCTGCCTTCACTAGCTCTTTCAACGAAACGTCCATTAACGTTATGTACAGCAGGTTAATTTTGGTCTATTTTTTATATTTCTTAACGTTCTCTCTTTTTTTTCCCTTTTCATTTTATTGACGTTTGGCAACGTTATGCAGCTTAACCTCCGCACTATGCTTGATCCGTAAAGCATTTCACTGGTAAGAGAATATTGGCCTTTGCTCCAAAAAAAGAAGGAGGGGATCCAATTTTTGTTGTGGTAAAATAACCCTTTGTTGTCTTTTGAAGTTGACCCTTCGATTTGATGACGCTTTTACTTTTCCAAAAAATGAGAAAAAGGTTCAAGGAAAGGATAGATTTGTCAAGCTTTGAACTGTCCATTTATTGCGTTAGAAATAATTTGTTCCGTCAGTTACTTCGGTATGTTTGGGTCATAGTGTGACTTCATGGTTTTTGACCCTATTTTCCATTGTAAGCTACTGGCCTGAGTTCTCGTAGCTGAATATTGGAGCAGAATGGTGTGGTATTCCATTTATTTTTTTGACAACGAAACACGATTAAGGCAAAATTCTGAATAACGGTATAATCAGTCAGTTCTTGATACGATTATCCACGTGCAGAGCTCTTTGATCGGTACCGGTACCATTCTTATAGATGAAACATGCTAAATATATTTGCAATCTGTTTATTAAATTTCAGTGCCATTCGACTCACAATGAACCATTGATTAGCAATGATCTACATTTGGTAGACAGAACCAAAATTCTTAGTGGAAATAATTGTTCAGTTGGGCTTTTTCTTTGCGTAGTTCAGTGCCTGAGTCAAACTACTCTTGCAAATAATCAGTTGTGGAGGCATGTTTCTGTTTCGTTTCTACAGTTGCAAACTCATTTGCGTTTCGGCTTGCCGTGCGTTTGCACCGGATGTAACTCTTGATTTATTGGATGTTAAGTGATACTTAAATTAAGGAGGTTGTTCCTTGATCTGAAAATGGAGCTACATGGCACGATTTTTAAACTTTTTTTGGCATTGTCTAATACTACCTTCAACTGAGAGGCTGAAAAATGTAATTTTGGATCGGATTGATAGAAAAACACTACAAGGGCTGTAATGAATCCACAACGAACAAGGGTAACTAAGTGGAGAAGGAAGTAACGCTTGGCAAACTGAATGACGACCTTCAAAAAATTTAGCCATAATGTTTTACTTCAAGATGCACAAGCCTTTTTCACACTTGAATGTGTTTCTTTTTAACTAAAGGAAACTGCGATCGTGCAGTTTTATCAAATCTACTGCGGAGGAAGAGGTAGTGTTCCTGGCAAAGGTTTTCTTGGCCCTGACACACTCCCTGTCTTCACAGATTAGCGGAGCCTCGCTGCAAGGACAATCGGCATCTTCCATGCAAAGTGATTTGTAAATAAGGGGGCACTGAAAGACAAATGTGCATAGCGCGTGAGTAAACCATTAGCTGACACAGTGGACCAATTACTCTCGCACAAGACGGCAAAAGAGTTTCTTTGAAAATATCGAGTTAAAGAATCAATATCAGTATCTGAGCAACTGCCCACCTATCCCTCCCCTAACCCAACATAAACCCTAACTTGTTATCAATTGACTGTTGTTGAGTTAGGGGAGGGGTAGGTGGATAGTTGCCCTGATACTGATATTGATCCGAGTTAAAGAACTGTTTAATTTGCAAGGTTTTCGTTAATCATTAATTCATGGAGATCGAGGATCCAAAATCAACGCAGTTCAAACGATGTGCCCGGTGCTTTTTAAGGTTAAGAACCGTGAACACCCTAAAGCCAATTTCAAACCGATTTATGTGCATAGTATACATGGTTTGAATGCAGCTGATTTCTAATTTGCAATTTCGACTCTTTGAACCCTAAGATCTGGTTATTAATTGCCTTGAAAATTAGTTAAGTTAATTAAGTTTTATATTAAGATGACAGAATCGAACTTTAGCTCATGATATTTTTTTCCTCGTCACCTGCGGGCTGGATTAAGTATTGAAATTGCTAAAAGATTTTGTACGCTAATCACTTCCGGGGTATTTAACGAACTTACAGGTAATTTCCTCCAAATTTCGTCCAAAGGACTTTTCTCTTCGCACCAATTCCTGTAGCTACAGATCAGCGAGGGACTGGAACGGCTCATTACACATGTGCACTCACTGTCTTCGCTACATCGCGTTCCACGTACAACAGAGCACTGAAAAAAAATGGAAGGAAGGAATTAAACTATTAAGAATTTGTCTCAAGTAAGGCTCGCAATTGTCTGGTGGACTTAAGAGCATAGACAGGCAGATAAAAGAAAAGAAAAACAAAAAGAATTTTAAACAGATAGCCATATAGCACTTGTGATTGACTCTTCCATGTCTATAGGAATTCGAGGATATTTCTTTTGTTGTCAGGTTCTGTAAGCCGATCTGCATGCCAAAGAAAAAGGGATTTCCTGTTATCACAAATGATAGGCGCGGAGGCGCCAACATGACTCTTAAGCATTTCTTTTCTATATTAGTAATTTGGTCAATCGAGTTTGTAAAGCAAATTTTGCCAGAAGGACATTTTGTTACCAGTTAGAGTAAGGTCTGTTGTCTTGTTGTCGACTTTTTCCTTAGATTTCATTTGTCTCAAATACGGCTTAGTAGGTTTGTGATCCCAGGATGTTGCAAACTAATGCTGTTTAAGTACACCTCTTCTCTTTTCACAGCAAGTTTTACTTAACTAGTCTTTGTATAAAATTTTTCCTTCCTTCATTTTCTTTTAATTTTTATTTTTCAAAAAATATATTTCAAGAAAACCACCTGATTTTGTTTACCACGGTTGAAGCTGGGAAAGAGACTTTATGGTGAGACTTTTCCTTACTTTACGTGAAATTGGTGTCTATTTTCCAGTTGAGATACCGCACAAAAATGGAGCCCAATTTTCTAAAAGGAATAGTGTACAACCTTTTTTTAAGATGAACCATTTACTCTTCGGCTAGAGCAATACAGTTAATCATTTGAGAAAAAAAAAAGTTTCTTTCTTCCGCCGGTTCGTTTAGTTTTCGCACTTTGCGCTGCGTACTCTTGCCTGGTCATGAGCCACGAACGAATCGTTGTGTTTTTGCGGGAAAAAAATAAAGAGAAGAGGAAATGAACTTACGCTTTGAGGCCAGTCTCGAATGTGTCTGGGTTCACACACAGTCAATACTGTCACCACTAACACGAGTAGTGTTTTCATCAGCTTCATCTTGAGAGCTAAACGATTTGGAGAGAGAAATTTAGTAAATCTGCATTTATATCTGCAGTAATTACCGCGAAGAAATTTCTGGAGTGTTTCTCGGTTCACTGCCAATAATCCTGTATAAGTATATCACATGGGCATCTATAAAATTATTGGGATGCTGAACTTGTGCCTGTGTTTAATAGGTTTTATGAATAATCTTTAAAACGCTATTTCATCTGCAGTCGTTTCATAAAGAATCAAGGGGAAAGAAGAATAAAGCCTTGGGTTTTCCTCATAAGATCATTATGGCAGATGAGTAATTGAAAGCCCTGCTTTGATTCAGGTTTTTCTTTAAAGATTAATGATAAGCTGTTAATATCACTCTTGTCCTTTTCAACGATAGATCTTTATGTACCCTTGACACAGAAATATTGAAAACGCTCGAGCGATCAATAATATCCATGAAAACTGAGTTATTAACGAAGCAATATTATGGTGTTACAAGTATATAAAGCGATTTGCAGAATTAAAGAGATTAGAAGAGATTTAGCGGCGATCAGATAAACAGCGGCATTTAAAGCGTTCACCACACTATAGATCACTGTAGGGGTCAGTGGCCTCTTTTCCTCAGCAGGAGCCTTGAGTCTCGTGTTTTCTGGATATTTTTAATTTTCAGCAATTGTTTTTTTATTTCCAAATCCAGATCTCAGAGGAGATATGTGACGCGTTGTCTATCATGAGAAACTTAGCCTTAATTTTTCAAGATTATCAGCTTAAATCTGTGCTAATCTTGTCCGTTGTCAGCCATTTTTGTTCTGTTTGGGATAATTCTTCCTGTTCTGATGTTTTTCCATCTGGCTGGATAAAAGGTTTGTTTTCCTCATTTTGTTTAAGATTATATTTTATATTTTATGTTAAAGGAAAACCAGACGACTTGAAATCTCTTATTGTAAGGCACACGACTCAACTCGAATGACTACTGATAAAAGCTCTCAAAACTCCAGAGACGAGGTGCATTCCATTATTTGGCCTGAACGGGTTTGGGTCGCTAAACGGCATATGATTTTTGGGTTCTTTAGTCGTAAACATGGTCTATGATTAAACTTCTTAGCGTCTTGAGCAGGTTCTATCTCTAGAGCGGAAAACTTTCAACAGAGGTGAAACGAAAGCAGTGCGTGGTTTAAAATATGCTACAAACATTTCCTTTTAATTCTGACTGCAAAGATTGTGTCCGCGCATGTTAAAACCGACTACATTATTTCGATGTGCCACAACTACCATGCTTGTTCTTAAGTGGTAGCAAAAAGCATAGATTTCGTTTGAAACATGAGCAGGGTTTGGAGGCCTGGGTAGCATCCCCGCTCCCCCCTTACATGAATATCGCCCGGACACCCCCTATCACAGAGGCTATTTAGTTGCCAGTTTTTAGTTTCAATGTTATTTTTTATGCTCTTGGTAAGAGTTGTGCCTATCATGAGAACACTTGAAGAAAGATCCTTACGAACAGAACTGACACGTGTACCTTGCATTTATAGCATAGAATTTCGAAGAAAACGGTCTGTTTATCTTGTTTCGCATACCTTGAAGAAGTACGCATTGTCGAGAGATTAGCCGTTTATCGCATTACGCCAATTTATGATATTTTTCGAATCTTCTCCAACTGAAATGGCATTTCAAATTTCAGAAGAATTGCCTGGCGAAGCTTTACATTACATTTTTTTGTTATGATTAAATTATGAAGCTAATATATTTATTCTTTTGAAAAAAAATAAAGCTGATTAACTTTGTTTTCCACACAACGACTTTGTATCTACGCGATCTTCGAATTAACATCGAGACATTTTCCTCTCTCAGCGTTTAGTCTCCCTAGGCATAATTTCCACATAAAATGTTCTCTCTGGATAAAGATTTTTGTTCTTAAGCCTTTCAGTAAAACTGATCTAGATGTAATCAGCCGTGGAATTTATCAATTTGGTTTTGTGTCTTTGGGCTGCGAGATGAATGAAATTTTTGCTGGGATTTAACCTTTAGACAATTGACTTGGAAAAAAAAAAAAAAAGGAAAATCTTGATGCTTGACGAAAGTTTGGCTGCTAATGAAATCCTAAGTTACCAACCTTTGATTGCGATGTACAGATTGATACAGTGATAAATATCGAGGGAAAGGAAAAACAGCTTGAACAGTGTACAAAAAAGCGCTGAGCACCCTAAAAACTTTACTTATCCAGAATCACGATGGAAACCGACCAATCACAACTCACAAACGCAACTTAAGTTACGTAGCCAATCACATTTTTCGGAAACCAGACTTGTTATTTGACTATTGAACAACAACAACTCTTCTTACAATGACTTCCGCTCAGGTTGTTGAAACATTACCCACTACCATTGACTAAAGTCATCTCAGGACATCACCGGGACAATCAGACTACATGATTAAATGTCTCTATTTGCTGATAGATTTTGGTTTCTTTTTCCATCTTCCTTAAACACCCTTTCCTCTTAACTTCTGACGCTTTTCTTAAGTATCACTTGCACTAAGCCTTCTCGTCTGCAGGAAGTATGTAGTAAATTGTGCAACATCACTGATGATGCAAGAATTTTTCCTTGTAGATTTTGCTCGCGAGAGATCTGGTTTTGGAGACAGAAACACAACCCACCCGCGGTTCAGAATAAATTGGAAGAATTATTTTTAAGCTAGATTCTTGGAGACTTCAATTAAAACAGAAAACAAAGTGGACTTTGATTTTTTGAGAACTTGCCGGAAACCACAGAATTGCTGTTGAATAAGATAAGAATTTCATTATCTGATTTTTCTTCAATTTCGAAATTAGTGAGAAAGTCCAAATATTTCCTCTTCACAACCGTAATTCTGAAGGTCAAAATCGCCCATAGATTCTCGATGGTGAAGATAAATGGAGCCAAATGTTTTGTTAAATTGCCAGCTTAACATAATGGGATATTTAGTTAATGTGGGGTTTTATCGTCATCGAAGATAAGCCAGAAACAAGGCTCTACTGAAAATAATTACACACAGAAAAACTATGTGTTAATAGAATTCCTAAGTTCGCAAATTTACACTCATTGTCGGTGCTCCTTGGAAATTATGATTGTATTGAGCAATAAGGTGTCAATTGCTCAACATAAGTGCAAAAGTGATTTGGCATTTGCAACACAAAGTCGTGTGTTTTTCGCTGCTCTTGCTCAGGGTGAAACTCGGACATCAATAGACAACACCAGAAAAACAGGCTTGGTAATAATTCGAGTCACTCAAAATGTGGCAACCTATTGACAAATGAAACGTTCTTCAATTGGTTGACATACTATTAAACTGGATAGCTTCTAGCTTCTGCAACAACTTGCAAATTCAAAATAGTTTTTGAAGAGGAAAAACTCTAAAACGGAACGGGAATGATCTCGATGGATTATATAATCAAGATTGATATCTTAACTAGAAATTAGTGATGTGGATAGCTCACATACTCAGCCATTGTTGTCTCTTGTCTTATCTCGGTTGGGAAAACAAATAGATTATTAAAAAAAGATTAGATTGGAAAATAGAAAAACAGTTGGCAAAATACTTGTTTTTTGTGTGCATAAATTGTTCTTTTGAAATGAGATCATTAATGGCTTATCATGGCACACCTGCTTCCTCTTTGCCTCTGATAACTACGAGTTGCTTAGATCTTACATCCTTGTGTTCCGTACGTAAGTTGTTCATCGTCAAGGCTACACTTAGATCGGCTGTGGTTGGGTTAAAGTTCATTGAGAAATATTGTCCTGGGGCAAACTTTGGTTGGAAAAAATCAACCCTTGCTTGAACTGACCGGCACAGTGAGATAGCCACGTAATGCAATTTGCTTAAGGAGGTAAGTTATGAGGGATCTGGTAGCTTGAGATAGAAATCGAAAGTGCTCTGGATCATAAACATGAAGGGAAGCTCGACTTCAGAGGGAGTCTCAATGTTTACTTGGGGTAACCTCACCTTTCTGTAGAGTTTTCTGAGTAATCTCCCCAATTAGTGGAGAACTGTTCTTAGCACCCGTTTTATAAATATATCTGACCCACACTACCAACTGGGTGAGTAGTTATCTAGTGCGGTAGCGGTCGAAATATTACTGACACTGACAATTTTTGCAACAATCAGGGAGGTCTGTCTAGAAGCTTTAGCTGGTACAAGATACCACGATTTCAAAATAGCCGAGCTAAATACACACGGGCTCTGGTTTGTTATCCAATCATGCACTTATCTTTTTCATATTCTCCTAGTTGTGGCAGACCAACACACACATACTTACTAGATGAGATAAAATGATGAGTTGAACCCAACAATGTTGATATACTTGTAACTGTTTTTCTGTGTGCATGAATAGATAAATCTAAAAGCGAAAGCGTTGTTAGATCTGCCAAAGAGTTACCATATCGAATAAAGTGGACCACAGTTGCGCTAGATTAAAGAAAAATGGAAGTTACATCTGCTAAAAGGGGTCTTAAAGGAGCAGCATTTCCAGTAGTTTCTGACTAAGCTCTTTATGAGTGAGAAATGAAGGAGCGTTTGTTGCAAGTTGCCGTATCTTAGACCGCCGACGGAGAACCAATTTAGTTTCGTGAGTTCGTTACCAAAAAAAGTCTTGTTTTACCCACCACATGGCTCAAGCTGAGTTTCCAAAAGTACCGTAAGCGGCTTGTGGGTTGGACTAAATCGAGAGCGTGTAGGAGGGTCTTTCGAGAAAAGTATACCTCGGCTAAAAACGAAAATCCCCAATGGACACAGATAATCACGCCCAGTCTAGTCTAACCTGCTATCTTTGCAGGTATAAAAACATTCTCCCAAAGGATAAGACATGATTTTGCGTAACCTAAACAGTAAAATCCAAGATTTGCTATAATGCATGAAAAACTTGCTACACAAACAAAGGGTCGAGCGCGATACAAAACGGATGTAAATATAATCCAGGTAATTCCTAAGCCTCAAGTATCTACACCATGAACCAGTGTTATACCCAAGGAAATTGCAATTTAAATTGGAGGACTTCGAACTTTCCTATATCTAACACAGGTGAGTTACTGCAGCTCTTCTAAACATAAAATCGTACGTCTCTCCATCGTTTTAGTATGATTGCACTCCTAAGTTTTCGTCGCACTAAGCAGTATTATTTACAAATGTGTTTCCTCTTTATTGATAAATCACCGTTGGAAACATTTTTGAGGTCAGATTAATGGAGCAGTGATCGTAATGAGAATTGAAAAGTTCCTTCGGGACGGAATTTGGGAGGACATCGAGTCTTTTGCCACCCAACCTTTACTTTAATCTGTAATCTTTGATGACCATGTATAAAAAATGTTTTTTTTTCATCTAAGAAAACTTTCCTTTCAAGTTTTTTCTAATCATTTAGAGGACTGGTTTTATCAGAAGTAAATTGCTTAAGAATGGAAAGAATCTGGTTATATAGATTAGAGAATTAGGCAATGAAAGAAGTGCATGATATCGACCCGTCGACCCTTCCTTTAATTTACTTGTCTGTTAGTAATGAAGATTGTAGTTTCAAATGGAACTTTCTTCTTCAGGTGAAGTTTTAAAATGTGAGCAGAATTTGTACTTTGGAGAATCTAAGTCTAGTTTATGAGTATACTCTGTCGACTTTCTCAAACACAATCCTGTGGATGCAATTCTCTGAAAAATTCCTTTTTTGATGTTCTCGCTCATTTCCAATAACGAAGCACCTATTCATTGCAGACAGCTAAGTTATTGTGGATACGTTTTGTAATACCATGCATGAATAGACAGATCAAGAGAGACTAGTCAAAAACCACAAATTAAAATTCTTCTGAATCCTAAGTATCTAGAAGGCAATCTTCGAGTTTCACCTCTTGAACTGGAGCTTTATTTATAGAAGAGATTTAGGGTTGAAACTGTTGGATACCAATGATGAAGATGGAGGATTAAAGATGGTTTAAAAGAGTTTCGTAAGCCGGAAATTACTGCTTTGCACGTCTGAACATGACTTTAAGGCTTTATTTGGTGACACTTGTGGGTTAAGTACAAAAACAGGAAAAGCCGGGAAAGGCCTGGCTTGTGAATTTTCTCAAAGACTAGCCCAAGTAATTGATATCCATATGAATTCGTAGCTAGTTTTCTCTCCTTGTCTTGCTTATCGTAATTTCTGTCTTCCCCAGACATGTTTTTGGGGATTTAATAATAGCGCAGAAGCCGCAATCGAAACAGATTACATTGTTTTGTTGATTTTTTTTCCGGCACGATCTTAAACATGTTAAAGTGGATTTTAAGGATTATGTTGCCACCCAATACGGTAGATTAAGAAAGGAACCTCCCAGGGCCTTTGTTGGACTCACGTAAAACAATATTGTTTATAAACTGATATTACGTCATGGGAAACTGGAAAAGGCTTACACCCATAAGATATATAAAGCTTTCCTCTCAGAAGATCGGTCAGTGAGCTAGACATTTCTCCGGAGCTAACCAACTGGGCTTTTTTACACCTTTATACAAGTTAGTTGGAATACGTGAATAGATTATATGCCTGAGAAAACTTTAGCTTTTTCTGCGTTTTCGTTTAAATGCCACGTCAAACAGTGGAAAAGAGAAAAGTTCACGCCATATTTGAATCAACGATTATTGTTTACATTTCATTTACAGGGGACAACGCCCACGCAAGATTTGGACGCGAATTCTGAGTTTCATCCTTTGAGAGTCTGGAAAGTTTACAAGAAGTGGCAGGATTGAAGAAAATTTAAAGAGATTCTAAAGGACAACTGGTAAGTGATATTTAGTGTGCGGACAACAGTGACAACAGCAGTGTGAACACATGAACTACAGCAATGTAGTAATCATTGATTGGAATTGAGTTTTATCCTTCAAATTTATACGAAGAAGGGAAACGTTCAAAAAATGCAATTTCACAGCGAGTTATTGAAGAATATGAATGATTTGGCAGCAAGCTCTTGAATTGGTGAATCTTGAATTTTGTGCGCACCTTCGACTGCTCCGCCATAACCATCGATCAAGAGACATCTGTAGAATTTAGCAGTGTTTCGTTTGAGTCGTCTCATGTTCCAATGTAACTTTTTCATAGAAAGAAAAACGTGATGAATGGGGCAAATATTTAGAAAGCGGCGATTATGCTTTTAAATATATCAATTAGCAATCGCTGTTTGAAATAAACTGCATCGATATGTGATTCAGAAGGTTTGAGCCGAAATAAAAGGGCCCAGAGCTTTACGCTAATCATTTAAGGAATCTCGATGATTTTCGGCCCTTCTAACGTAATCACTTGTTTCTTTAAAACTACACCAAAAAGTTAGCGTAACTGCCACGGAAGTTAAGGGCACAGCAAATGGGGATTTTGCCACAAGAATCAATACGAGCGGAGGCAGGAATTTAATCTCAGAACTGAGTCATCTACATCGATGAATGAAGTCGGGCAATCTTCTTCGTTTTAAGATTTTATTATACTTAATAGCTATATACCTTTGTCCCACTGTTGCTAGATCGTGCAGTTTCCAGTTTGGACCAATATCGCAATATTTTTTTTCTTAATTGTACCCAAAGTGCTTCGCTTTAGCTCAAAATTTCAGATTTTAAATCAAAGTTAACGCTTAATTGTTTCTTGATCAACTGTTTCTGTTTAAAATATTGAAAAGGCGCCCAAAATTTTAGAGCATATGTTTGTTGCTTCTTGACGCACTGCGTGACGAGATAACATATAAGAAAATTTTTATTACTTAAAATTTCTTGTAAAGAGGCTCAATTTCTTGATTACTTAATGTCACCTTAATCACAAAGTTGTCTCTCTCTCTGGCTCTTCCTTGCTTGTAGTTAACCGTTTAACTCCCAAGATCTGATGGTCAAATCTCCCCTCCAGCTACTACATATTTCCTTTTAAATTAGTTACAAGAATTTGGTGTTAGATCAAGACAACAACTTCTAGTTGACATTTTTGAGTATTCTCATTACTTGTTTGGTGGATAATGTATGAATATTGCAGGGAGAAAATAGATGTTAATCACTTCTGAGCGTTGAAGGGTTAACTTGTTATGGTCATAACTTGACGATCACGATAAAGAAAGTTAATTATATCCATCGCGTAGAATTTTGAAAGATTAAATGATTACGACAGTAGTGAAGGAAACAGGCCGTGATCATGTTCTTATATGCACGCTGGCTGGCAAAAGGGAAACAGAGCGCGACAAATCTTTCTACATGGTGGACGATCGAATAGGCAAAACCCTGCCCTTTAAACCTTAACTGAATGGCATCTTTACGCCTTGAGTAGTGCTGATAGACGTGGAGAAAGCGTGTTGATGCCCTATACATGCGCACCGTCTGGCGTCTAAAGAATGAAGGTATCCTAAAGTTTCTTACAACGATTTAGGTCGGAAACGACGGAAAACTATCTAATGCAAGTGGAGTATAAAAAGGTATTTGCATTCACACCGCACCAAAAGGAGGACAAACGGAGAAAAACAACAGAAGAAATTGTTAAAGCATACCTTGCAAAGCACACAATTTTTCAAGTCTTTGGGATTCCAATTAAGAGGCAACTTGACTTGAGAAAACGAGTTAAACTGTTAGATGCGGACTTTTCCAGGTAAAACACACGATTTGAAGCCAGAAAATACACCTTGTGCTCAGTATAACCAGAAAGAATCGACTGAACAAAATCCTCAGCTTATCAGTTTTTTGTGGCGAGGATCACGTGCTAGGGTTGGCCACTGAGGGTGTCATTTCACATTCTAAGATGTCTTGCATTCCACTTCCGTGGACTCCACTGGAAAAACTATGAACAGTCATGCAGTATATCCAGTTTTAAATTCCATTTGCGTCATGAAATTTCATTGGTACTCATCCAAGTCAAGTTTTGGAAGAAGGCCATGTTATATTTAGTATAAAAGCAAAACTGTGATAACTTTGCAGAGAGGGAACAACAAACACTTCAAACAATCCAACAGCGAATCTTTCAGCAGTAATCACTGCAAGCGAAAAAAAAAAGGATTGTCGAAACAAGATGTTTTATGGAAGGATCATTAGAGTGCCACGAGAAAAATCGACAAACACAGAGACTGTTAGTTTTTTTTTTAACCATCTCGATTAGGATTTTAGTGATAAGACCCTTTTTATAATCATAACCTGTGAAAGAGGTTAATGGTCTGTACAAAAAAAAACAAAAGTGTTTTTTATTTGTGGGTGGTTTGACATACGTGGATAGTGTTCAGTTTATACATATCCATACTCAAAACCTACTGTGAGAGGCAGTTTGATGATTTTTGCAGATTAACTGAGAAAGAAGAGTGGCAGTTAGTTGGACGATAGAAAGTACCAAGAAGAGATTCGTGACTAACTCATTTGTGTAGAGGCAAAGGTGTTCCCTGTCGCTTGGCGGCTCGTTAACATCAAAGACACTGGTAATCCCGTGTTTGAAACATCTAAATTATTTATATTCTTCCGATGGTTCACTGACAGAAGAACAAGTCGTGCAGTTCTCAAAAGAAGATATCATCTGTGCAACTCGTAGTTTTTTTAGCATTTTAATGTTATCTTTCTTCCTTTTAGTAATTGAAGTAACTTCTCTAGATTTTTCTACCGTGATTTGCAAGTCTGTTTTTGAATATTGATTTTTTTAAAAATTTTTGTTTTTCTATCATATTCAAGTCATACAGGCATGTTCCCACGGTGTTACTATGATTTCGCCGATATGGAATTAATGTCGAATCCTTTTTTGACCTTTTGTTAATATTTTCTCTCTATTGTGTGGCAACTTACAAAGCTTGAGGTCTTATCAAGGTATCCATGTACAAAAATACTCGTATATAATAGATTTGACTCAGTCATTTTACTAACTTTCAATTAAAGTGGGGATCAACGAGAAAATCAAACACCTTTCAACAAAATGCACGTGAACTCATCCCAGTCATTTGTAAAATGTGTTTATCTATGGTGTGTATCTTTCTAACTCATCAGGTTGTAATAAAACTGCACAGTAGGCTCGTTAAATTACTAAACATAAATGAATCTGCGGGAAGCCTCTGTCGTTATTATCGTAAACCTAGCCACTACCCCCTCACGCAGAAAGGAAACAAGAATAGTTATGCTTTCGTTTGTGATAATTTGAAACAGTTTTTAGATCATGATCGATCTTTGATGGACATTTAGTCGGAATTCAGGATTTCCTGTATCCGGCAGGATGTTTTACGGCGCAAAGATGGTTTCAGCACTCATAGTTTACGGTTTCGTTGGACAGTTCGGCACTGTGATTTAATTTCTAGAAAATTCGTAAACAAAATTCCTCGTTCATTCCGTCTTAGTTGCTTTGGATGATAGCTTTGATCCGTGTTTTACTGTTGAAAGATTCTCAATGCACTGTAACGTAAGCTTTGAAAGAAGCATTGAATGATTCTTCACTACTGGATGTGCCTTTCACGGCACATTTTCATCATTGGGTTATTTTCCTTTCTTTTAAAAGCAGGTGGACCAAACAAAACAAGGAATATAGAAGAACAGTGAGGAACATAAAAGACACGCGAGGTATGACATTACAAATCACAGAAGTATTTCATTTTCTATTCATGGTTAGTTGACCTCAAGCATTCACTTAGTTGTGGTAGCCCTATTTGAAGGAGTGGTATTGTTCAGTGAATGTCAGACATTCTTAATTCGGCATGATATGTCTCAGCACAAGTATAAATGTTTAAATCGTCTCGGAATTAAGTAGTTCGTTTATTACGTCAGTGAAGAAAAGGTCAAACACAATCCTTACACTGTAACAAAACACTTCAAGAGAAGCAATAGAGAGAGCATTTGATTTCGAGTATCCGACTGAGAAAGTTCTTTAAAAGGTATTTATGAAGTGTGAACCCAATTTTATTTTTTCATGTGAATTACGTGTACAACTGCCTCTGTATTACTGCGAAAACTGCCTGCGTGGTTTGTTTAAACAATGTTATTATTTCCCTTCGCCATGCACTCTCTTTTCTACTTGTTAATGAGGTTATTTAGTTTCCTTCCCTTTTAAGAAGGACCATCAACTTTTAGCTAAAGCTATGCAGATTAAAAGTATAATGGATAGATATCTAATCATTTTGTTTTCGTAAGCGTAAGAATCAATCATTTTTGAGATTTTTTTTTTCATATCCGAAATTTATACTTCTCTGCTTTAAAAAAATGCGTTTAATCAAATATGTTTCCTCATTCAGCCTTTCCTAATTATCCGCGTGTCTTTAAAAGTAAACGAGAATACGTTTTCATTTGGCAGTTGCATGTCATAGATCGAGATTGACGAAAGCCAGGTTCTTCTGCTATAATTTTGGTGAGCTATACATTCAGGAAGTTATGATGCCATGATGTTTTTGTGATCTTAATTTATTTTCAACTTTCCTCGCCTTTCATATGAAGTATACCAACATCTCTTGAAAAGAAAGATGTACAGAAAAATACAGGGCAAATTTTTGAGGACATTTAATCGTTGTGTAACGGCCTGGATTAAAACAACGTGTCTATCAGTTTTCTTTTTTCCTTTTTTTTATTTTGGGGAGGGGGAGGGAGGGGCTGACTAACAAGGACTGTTTTTTTTTCTCGTCAGAAAATTTTCTTGAAATGTCTTAGTACTGTAATATTCTAAACAGAGGTCGGCGCACTCGACAAGTTGGTATGAAACCACAGTTATGTTTGGCGAAGACAAATATTTCTCTTTGTTCCGTTAGTTTGTGTGTCAAACCGCAGTTATTTTGCGCTGTAAAGAAATACGCTTTCATCTCAGCAAGCCATTAAATTATTCATAATTCGGCGTTTGTCGAGTGGGCTTTTTCTTTTGTCCTCACTCACCTTAAAAACTCGTGTTATGCTCGCGTTTTTTTCCTGGCGGATATGAGTAACACACGCGAGCCCATCCTGTCCTCTCAGCGTTTCATCTGCTTAAGTACTTAACGCATTCTCTCAAACAACCGCAAAAGAAAAATGTGTCACTTAAGTAGCAGCTCTAGGTATTGGAAATAGTACAGAATTGTTGTAAACAGCTGGCGTAGGCGAGAAAACGGAAAATTCACAATCAATTCTTTTGAGTTAGTGTGGTTTGCCATTGCGTCATTTCAAACAACAAGAACGGATGTTCCTCTCCTTTCTGCAATCTTCCGCCTTCCTCCAACAGTTTTTATTGCATGTCTCTGAATTCCCGTGACTAGACTGTTAGGAAAATGGTATAAACGTGATGTTTCCCCTCAAGTTTTACGCATTTCCAACCACATCCAACCGCTTACAAACAGGTCTATCCTCCGAACTCAAATCCCACCATCTCACTCTCTCTTCTTACGATAGGCTTTCGGAATTGCTTTTGTTGGTACAACGCAGCATGCTTGTTCCGTATTAACCAAGTATATTAATAAGCTTATCAGCTAGTTTTCTGACTAACCGACGTCACAGTTGGAAGATTTCAAGATGGAGCCTTCACAAAGAACTCACATTTTTCCTGCACTCGGAGCAAATGTTCGGTATTGCTTAACATCTTCTTATACTTTTAGCTCAGTGTTTCTTAACTCTAAATATGAGTTCTTTAACTAATGACGTGATAAATTATCGTTATTGAGGCATAAGTATGTTTAAACTTAGAATTTCCTCTCTGCCAACATGTGGCATCGTTCTCAGATCGTAGTGATGCCTAACAAGTACCCAGGAAGCATAGTGTTGATTTCTCCCGTCAGAGCTTGAATTTTCTTCGCTTCTTCCCCCAAGATTTCTGGTTATTCGATTTTCTACACTTCTCTTTATTTGGCAATCTATATCTTCGGCAGGTCAAAAATTTGATCTATTTGCCTTTTGCCTACACCTAAATATAGTTCACCGATATTGTGACGCACAAAGGTATCTCTTAACAACGACTTCGTCTCTCCATACTGTCACGAATGTCTTGAAAATGTATAAGTTCCAAGGGGTAGATTCGCACCACTTTTATTGAAGGACCTGTACAGACGTATTAACAAAGTTTAAGAGTTCATGGGACAATGGAAACAACGTCTTGGGTATGCCAAGTTTTCGAGAGGTATTTTATGGACATAAGAAAAAAAAATCATGTTTACGCTTGTGGCAAATGGCAAAAGTTGAGCTTTTGTTGTCTGTTTTCAGCCAAGGAAGGATAAATTTGAAAATATTTTCTTTTGTTGTGAAAAGGAAATGGTTTTTACTTTTTTGTTAGATTTATTCAATGCGATCGGAGCCGGAAAAGTACGCAAGAGTATAGGCATCTTTTTCCTGTTAAGTTTTCTTTCGTGGTACAGTCTTAACCAGTCTGTTGAGATTCAATTCTCACCCTGCTACTGTGTTCGTTATGTATCCTTTTATCCAGTCCATCGTTTCCAGCAACAATTTTACGCGAAATGTAAAAAAGCATGTAAAATCAGTGTTTATGTTCCGTGACATTTTGTCTTAAATTCGAGGGCGGTGGCTTGGATGTTCATAGTCTTTTTTATGATCCTTTATTTACTCTAGTGACTGATCTTCCTCGTAAAAAACGTTCTTTGTTTGTCGAATATTTCACGTTCCATGCTCCTCTTATGATGAAATTTAGACTACTTAAGATGCTTTTGCGCAGAAGAAAGTGCAGTCAAATTACTTAATGTTGAAAGATAAAAAAAGGGAATCTCCTTTATCTGTGGAAATTTTCTCGTTGTTCTTCACTAATTTGCAAGTTAAGACGATGCTTGTGAGCCTATATTTTACAGCTCATGTTAAAAACGTAAACAATTGAGTTTTTCAGTAAAAAATTAGCAATCTTTTGCGCGTTCGTGATAAAATGGGCTGCCTTTTGACACCTGTAGACTATTGAGTCCAAGAAACAACAGTGCGCTCTTAATTATGATAGCAGATTTGCCGAATATTACCGTAATAATCCCATTTATGTTACTTAACATTAACCTTAAGGCAAAGGGGTATTTTTTCAAAGGATCATTCAGCTTGTGATCTGTTAAAACGCGTCATTCAACAACCATCCTCGAAAATTGTAGTCATCGCCTTAACAAGTCTTGGTAAACTGACCCATTCTCTGTTCTTAATTCTCTTCTGTTTTCTTTGGTTCAAGGTTGCCTGAAAAGTGCGCTACAGTAAAGACGATGAATATTTTCTTTGTTGTGTTTGCGTTCTTGGCTTGGACTGAAGCCGCACCAAGTCCTCCAAAAGTAAGTTTTGTTTTTCCTGTTCTGCTTTCCGTCCAGCTCATTGTATTTGCTCTCTACTTCCTCAAGGGCTGAGTTGGGTAATGCGTGTCTTATTTAAACAGCAAGCACCTTATGTACAAAAAAATGACTCTGAAGCGTATCGTATATTCCTAGAAAAATGAAGTTTTAGTTATTACTTTGGCAGAAAACCTGTGGGGGACCATACTTGAAATATTGAGCAATCGTAATCTTCCTTTTTAGTTCTGCATCACTGAATTATCGAAAGAAAGCCTTATCCCCACGTTTTTTTTTCCATTATTTTTCTTTGGTATTTCTGTTTGTTTGTTTCTACCAAGCGTTTTTCGTCACATGAGAGAGTTCTGTTATGTAACTCATGTCTTCGTTCTTGTACATTCCGATGACGTTTTCATTACACAATTTTTACCATTTCCATCTCTTTCTGGCGTGTGCAAGTTTTTGTTGACACGTGTATGACCTATATGTTATAATGCTAGGCTCTTGAAAGGATTAAGGATTCCTTCTCCATGACATAATGATGAAAGCTCTTATCCGTCTCTAATTAATCACGCAGCATGCAGTGAATTGGACAAGATTTTTTGACGCGAGGGGCGGGAGGGGGGGAAGAAGGATGGGGGGCTACTTTAGCGACCCACTGGAGTTTAAGAGCATACTGAGATTTAGACATACCAGGGGGAGGGGGGTAAGATACATCATTAGACCTTCCCCCTTTCCTTGGCTACTTCGTTGTTTCATCAGCCCAGCGGTTGAGGGAAGGATAGTAACGCCTTTTCATCTTAACGTTTTCCAGACTATGTGCTCGTAAGTGTAGCAGTCTTCAAGTTCTCGCTCCTTTTTTTATGAGGAATTTTTGGCAGCATTTCTCGTTGCGTCCAAGTGATGAAAACGTATTATCGTCCTTTAAAGATTCCTCGGGTTCAGGGGTTTTGAATTATTTTAACATATTACTCGGGTTTCCACGTCTAAGCCTTCCAAATGTTGAAATATTCGTGCACACAGCTTGGGACTTTTGAGTTGACGACATATCACATCACACGGATCTGTGCTCGTCAACTTAACTTTTATTATTAAGCCGTATTTCAGTCGGCGTAAAATACAAAATTGCCCTCCTCTGAGGGTCATGAGTTCAAACGTTACGGGGGATTTTAGAGATACCAATGTGTGCTGTTTGTGATCGATGTTCTTTCCCGTTTGTTTTTCAGTGTGGCAAAATTCGCGGTCGCAATTGTAGTGAAGACAGCGATTGCGCATGTCTTAACCGTCACAACAAAAGTTCCTTGATATGTAATACCCGATTTCGATGCGAGAAGCAAGAATTTAGGGACACACTCCAGAGGATGCAGCCAGTAAGTTGCATTGGTTAACTGTTTAACGATAACTTTACAACACTGAAAGATCTTTCTGATACCGTGAAAGGAATCTGCGGTGATAGAACAGAGTCTGAATTCATAGAAATATTATGTAATTTCCAAAGATAATGATGAACAGCTTATTCTCGACTTTCCCATTCTCCAGCTGTCATCTCATTCTAAGGTTATGTTATAAATAAACCGCCCTCAGTTTGAGAACAACTTCCGACGATCTTTCTAGAATTATTTTGAGGAGGTCCTTGGGGATTGGGTTGACTTGCGAGAGGGCATTAGAGTACTTTAGTTGACAGGAAATTTCTTAAAATAAACGACTTCCTTGGTGATTTGTTGTATACTAAACAGAACCAATTATTTTTCAGTGCCACCGTATCTACAAGAATTTTTGTGAAGTTGACACCGATTGTCCATGCGACGAAGCACGACTTATCTGTGAGGATCACGAATGCGTGAAAAAGAAAAGAAAACCAAGGCCACAGATAAACTTAGATCGTCTCCTCTCTATGTTGTTGCCAAGAACAAGTAACGGTACGCAAAGCTCTCCGCGTCGTAAGAGAAGACGTTTACCGAGACACGGACTCTTCAAGACGATTTAGCAGCTTTGTTATTCCATGCGATGTTCGGCACAACCCTTGGTATGGCGTAGGGTGATCATCCCTCCTGCTTTAGAGCGCATTTCGATTGAAATGTGTCGTCAGACCGAAAACAGAGGAACCACTAAGGCCAGTCTCAGAAAAAAAAGGAAAATACTGCGCCACAAGGAGCCCATGTGAACTCATGTGCCAGGAGTGTTGGATATCACGTGTCATCACATGACTAATGGTGTTACGTAGCGTCTGATTGGTGGAGAAAGTGATACGATATTTCTTGACCAATCACAGAAGGAAGCAAAGTTAACTCAAGAAATCCCTGATTTCGTTAGACACTCGATTTATAATCGCGCTTCTGTACAGCTATTTATGTGTAAAGTTAAGTTGGTTTTTTTCGTATATATATGGAAGAAAATTATTACGTTGCTCTTTAACCCTTTAACTCCCAAGATTGTTAATTCTCCCCTCTTGGCTGCTACACAGTTCCTTGTAATTAATTTACAGGAATTTGGTGTCAGATAAAGATAAAAACTTAAACCTGATAAGTTTGAAGCTTCTCATTACTTGTTTGCTGGATAATGTATGGATATTATAGGGAGAAATTATATGTTAATCACTTCTGAGAGTTAAAGGGTAACACTACTTTCCTCTGGCTTCTATTTCGGAGGAAAGAAATTTAAGGTAAATAGAAGAAAATAATATGAAAAGAACTTTTATAGTGCCTTTTTAATGAAAAAAAAAAGTACTGCTCACTCAAGTGTGTATATTTTGTAACACTCTCTAGATGTAAATAATTAAATAAGTTTACATAAGCACGGCACTGTGGCGAGTGGCGAGTGGCGAGAAGAGAATCTGGTTGAACATTTCTTTTGCCCATAAGCTGCTCTTTTGAACAGATTTTATTTAGCTTGAAAAGTAGGTGATGGGAACACACTTAAAATAAAACGAGATTTCAAGACCGCGAAAGCTGAACCTTGAGCGCACAATCCGCTTAACTCAGTCGCAAGATGACAGACAACCCACACGACTTAAATAAATTCACTGAATTCGATAAGTTGACTGTTTGATTTATTGATTAGAGACGGGAGACATGGATTAAGGAAGGCTTTTACTAAAGTGGGTATGCCCTGCGTTAATAGCGTTTTTTTTTTTGTTTTTTTTTTTTTACTGGCCTTTCGGTTTTTTATTTCGATGAATTGAAACTTCTCTTTACAAAGAGGGCAGACATAGGCAGGCTAGCCCCTTGAAATACTTTCACTGTTGATCAAAGACTGATTTGTCATCAAGTTGGATGAGTCCCTTGGGTCAAGGTAAGGGTCAAAAACTCTTATGAACTAAAAAAAGGTATAGCCTCAATTGTTTATGCTTGTCAGATGAAAGATGTTCTCCTGTTCCAATCTTTCACATGACTGTGAGAACGAAATTTAAAAGAATTGATAATGTGACGAACTCACCCCACCCCTCCCCCCGTTCCATCCTCCTCCAAAACGAGGCCAACATTCAGACGCACAAACATTCAAACACGCCATATTGGCTTCGTCGAACTAGCGGGGGAGGAGTAGTTTGTTTTGTCCGTTGAAACGTATGCTGAAAAGTTACTGATCCGTTAATATTTCTAGTAGAGTCTCTGGCTGGCTGTTACATTCTTTGTACAGCCTTGGCTCATGATTAATTTTGTCAGTCACTTGAACTTAAGCTTCTGGCTAAAAAGATTTTCATAAGTAGCCTTCCTGACATTGGCGTACCTGAAATTGTTTCACTTACTTAAGCTTACTTATTACGGGTGCGTGAGGACAAAACCCCTTGACAAAGAGGATTTGTTTGTGTCCAAGAGTACTCAACTTCACACTTATGTTTGGTGAACACCAGCGATTACCAGTGAGACTGGTCATATTTCTCTCCATTCTTCACGCCAAAAAAGGCTACAGAACGCGTGGAATACTTGTTAAAAACTCCTAAATGCCACGGAATGACGGGCTAATAATACTATTCGATGGCAGAATAGTATGCTTTTCGGACAATAACAATATGTGATACAACTTAAAGGAAGTAATGTTCGCTATTGAAGATTTTCTTATCTCGATAAATGGAATGATAGGGTTAGAAACATTTACATTGTTGAAAGTCGAAAATTCCAGATTTTTTTTGAAAAAAAATCATTGAATTGGCTAGGCCGCAGACTCGCCGCACTTTTTTTCAAATATATTGTTGTAAGTGAGGTGGCCTTTCCTATAAACCCGGTGGTTTCTGACAGTCTCCACGACTTTTAGTTATGATACTGCCAATTTATTTATCATTATTGCTGAAAAGAGGCAAATGAATGAAAATGATGACACTTGTAGTGAACCAAAATCAAAAGTGCGCCCGCCATTCAGGGCTCTATCGGTACGTGATGCGGACCTATTCTTTTTTTCAGGGCTTCTGTGATACTGTTTGTGTGTCTTACATACCGTAATTTCTTCAAAAATTCGTGAACCATGGAACCGGCAGTGGACAAGCTGGAAGCTTTGGTAAATTTAATCACCTTTTTGAGCCTCTGTTAGATTCGTTGGTACCTTTATTCAAAAATTCGAGGGAATTTTACCGTAATTTTGCTCACTATTAGCTTCATGGTAGATGAAGTGCATTCTATGAACTTAGTTTTTTTGGCAAATTTTGGCGCCAAATACGAAAATCTAGAACGGGGAAAACAGATTCTAAACCTGTCGGCAGTTGAAAGACCCTTGAAAAAGTGTGGTTTATGTGTTGTTCCAGTCAATAAAAAAAAATCAGTTATCGAGACAAGCGTCCAAATGGACAGTTTCAGTCCAGTTTTTCATAATAATCATGATGAATATACGGGTTTTTTTAAAGACAGACCTCACTGGTGCGATAATATCATCATTTGGAGGCCATCTTGGTTGGTAAAAACCGTAGAGTCGTAGCCGAGTATTTTGGGAAGACCATAAGTGAAGAAATAATTGCAATACGTAAATTTGAGCTGTAAGCCAAAAGATGTTTTTTTATTCATGATTGGTGTTGGGTAGCCGATCGGTACATATAAACGTGAACAGTTATCTACTTATACGAGGGGATTAGTGCATATTAACAGGGTTGGAGTACTTTCTGCATTTGAATTTTTTGCATTTATTGTGCAAAAAAAATAAAAAACCAAAAAAAAATTCTGGGTGAGGTCAAAGTGAAAGTGCTCATCCAACCCATACCATAAAATTACACTTGTCAAATTTCTTCTTTTGTAACCAGTTTCAGAAGGCGGAGTCAGACGTCAACTACATCTCCCTCCGACTGGAAACTGAATTTTCACAACAATTTTCAGACAACGGCCAAGAGCAGGTTCATTTATAAATTCATTATGTAATTATTTGCATATATTTTTCTTATTAATGTCACCTCATTTTTTTTTTAAAATCCTTTTGCTAGTTTGGGTAAGACTGATGGTATTGTTGATGATTCATTGCCTGTGTATGCAGTAGCTGCAAGTTTCCTCCCTTTGCAAGTCCCCCCCCGCCACCTTTATGAGTAAGCTGCCTATTGAAAAACTTGGCCCTAAGATCTTTCAACTTGTCTCATGACAGCAGAATGTATTCCATTGAAACCATAACATATTTTGTTCAAAATAAAATTTTAGAGCAAAACCTCAACAAAGTTTGATCAATATGCAAATGACAACAGTTACTGATGTTAACACAGAGATCATTGATATATCAGTTATGTTAAACAGTTGCATAATACTGCCATGTTTTTGCTTCTGAACATTCAGCTCAACCCCATAAAGCTCCTACAAAGAATAAACCAAGCCAAAGTACAATTTAAAAATCTTGCAGAACAAGCAAGAGAGATTCATTCTCGACAACAGGTGAGTGAAACCAGAACCAAGTATAAAATCTTATTTGTAGGCATGTTTGCTGGTACATTCCTTTTGTATGGTATGATTATTTACAGTAAATCCAAGAAATCATGCAAACCTTCACAGAATTTATCCTTTATTGGCATTGCCTCTTTGTTAGCAGTTTTTTGGAGAATAAAGAAAATCTTTGAATGAGTGCTCTTCTCAATTTTAGTGTTTTACTTTGCAAAACAACAGGAAATACAAGCTTGTGTAAGGGACCAAATGTTAGCATGTCAGGATCTTCTGCGTCATTCACAAAAATGTGCAGGCCTTGAGGTAGGTTCATAAACATGTTCCTCATTTTTTGGGTAATTTAGTATTATCAACTGAGTTGATAACATAAATTGGACACTACAAAGAGTTTCAAAGCTGACAAAGGGCCAATGCTCCAAACATCAGCTTTGAAACTTTACAGTGGCCAATTTACATTATCAACTCAGTTGATAGTACCAAATTACCCTGTCATCCTCTCCCACTACTGCAGCACCACAGTTTTTTAAAAACTTACCCCCTTTCCCACATATGGATGCTACTGATAGTAAAGTTGGCAAATCAAGCCCAGCAACTCATCCAGCTAGAACTTATCCATGTTTGCATAGTAAAAGGGATTAGATGTAATAACCCTTCACACCCCAAAATCAGTATGCATATTCTCTTTCCTGTTTTCTATACATTTGCTATATTGCTTACAAGAAGAATTTGTGTAACAATCAAGGTTTTTTAGTTCACAGCAATTTCCTTTATTCTCATCTTCTTGATGTTTAACTCAGCTGTGATATTGGTGGGAAAAGTTAGATGCTTATTTCTCAAAGGGGTAAAGAATTAACACTTATCCTCTAGAGATGCCAGGTTATCCTCTATTGTGATTTGGATAGTTTCCACTTCATTTTGTTTCTCGTAGCAACAAAAATAGCCTTGGATATTTGCTAGGAGAACAGATATTTTTATCCTGGATTGTTTCTCAAAATGAACTGCAAATCATTGTTTTAGAATTGACCTTTTGCTTCCATATTCAAAGATTTCATTAATTATCTGAGCAAAAGTATCAGCAATTTAAAATTTAGGATACGTTGGTAAGACATCCAGCTATTTCAATTACAAACTGATTCCCCATCAAATTGGATGCACAAGCACTATACATCATCCAGTTGTTTGAAGGTTGTATACTCTGGTAATGCTATGCAATGGACAAATTGCTGTATGGTGACAAGTATTGACAAATGTACTACACTATCCACTGGAAAAAGATTTATTGAGCAGAAAGTGATTTTAATTGTTTGAAAAACAGGGGGAAAAGTCTGTGTAGTGGAAAAAATTATTTATTTGGAGTATAATTATTTTTACAATGGATTTACTTTTTTTGCCGATACTTGCAAAATACATTTAATGCACATGCATCCATCCCCCTAGTGAGTTTTGAATCTCATTTACCTGAATATTTATTCTTAATAATGTTACAGTGTTGTGTGGTGTGCTTTTTGCAAAAAAATGTGTCTGTTTACTCAAAAGGTCATGGAAAAAAGTGATGATGAGCAGTATCTACAAACATCAGTACCTTCTGTAATCAGAAAAGGTTTGTCAGGACTTAATGACTAGGAATTACATCATGTGGCAATGCAGAAAAAAAAGGCAAAGCATTTGATTGTGACTTTGCTATGGTTGTAGTATTGTGAACTACAGTACCATTTGTTTTACTTTTCATGAACTGATAAATATGGTCAAGATGTAGAGTGTAAAACTGTCTAGGCACAACAAGTAAGTGGGAGGTTTGATTTCATTTGCCAAGGGTGAAATTTCTGTAATTGTATGTGTTAGGGAAATATAGAGAAATGCACTTTGGTTCAAGTGGGCCTGAAGTTTAAGTTGGCAGGGTTTCAAGTTATTGGGAGTGTACTGCATGTACCTTTTTGATACCAATTTTTTTCAGTAGTGGAGAAATAATTCACACAACTGATTGTCTGTTAATTTACCTTATAAAGAGACTGCTAGTTCTGAGCTGAGTACTGATGAAGAAGACAAAGAAAATAAAACTGAAGGCACAGAGAACAAAACCCAGCAAGGTGACATATCTACAACTGTATTTCTAAGCAAGTAATGCAAGGTTTATAGTGTATGATGTTCCAATGTGCTGTGTGGGTTTGCATAATTTCCTGAGAAAAATTATCTGTTAGTAATTTACTTTTTTTCTTAGAAAGTTATTAACAAAAACTGAAATATGTGAATTTTTTTTACTTCCTTCTTCAGATGACCATTATGAAATTTGTAATCATTATTTTCAGCAATTTTAAAGGTTGTTTTGATTACTTATTTGTTATACAGTAACATTACTTTAAAGCCCAAAGCAATGCTATAGTAGCAAGATTCTGTTCTAAGCTATGGGCAATCTCTTGGAATTATAGTTGGTCTCATGATTAATTGTAAAACTTAGGACTTTACAGACTCATGGTAATTATTTCCACAGCATCAGAAACACTCAGCTTCTGAAGAAACCTTTCCTTGAAATTTGAAATTGATGCAAGATGCCATTTTGTCCTTAAATTTTGTTGAGTGAGATTACAATTTTACTTGGCTAGCTTTTAACAGAAACTGTTTTGAAAATTTACAAAAGGTTAACTATTTTATTGTAGAGTCTGATACAAAACCTGTTATTAGAGGGAAACATGAGTTCATTCCTGTTGATGAGAGAGAATTTTTAACAGTCTCAGAGCTTGTGAGAGGGCGGGCAAAACTTCAGGATGTCAACAAGGTATAATGAAAAAGAGACCATGCAAAATTATAATTTTGAAGTGATAATTTGTGCTGTTAGTAATATTCTATCATTTTTATGTGTGTCATGCCCATAACAATCACTTATTGATCACACCTCCACATAAAGTCCCCACAAAAAGGTGAAAATCCTAACAGGGGAATCTGAGTTTTTCTATATCCCAAGCTGATGAAAAATCTCTTAGAACTACCTATACTTGACAACAAATCAAAATTTACTATCTTTCTCACTCTCAAAGAACGCTCTCAACACTTCAGATGTTCATAGCATGCAAGGGACTTGTCTCATGTGGTCCTAATATATGGCCTGGCTTGAAAATGAGTTCTTTGTACCATACTATGAGTGTGGTTAATAATTGTTACAGAAAAGTGGTCCACACTTTGTCCTGGTTTCAAGTGGATGCCAACTAACTTGATAATTTTGCTAGGTTTATGAGGTTCTGTTTCATCATTTTAAGAAAAACAAACACAGGTATGTGGATAATTCCTAACAGTGATAATATTAGTGTCAATCACACCCCTAGGCAATAGTTAATGGTATTAAGACCAAGTGGAGTCTAATTTGGTCTGTAATCATACAGGTGATTAAAAAAATTAGACGACAGTAAAAGAAGGAGTCAGACTTGTTAATCACAAGTATGACTACAGACAGAATTGGATAACTTAGTTCTGTTACCAATTAATCAAAACTATGACAAAATTTGAGAAAGAAACTAGCCATTGGTTATACCTTTTCATAAGTAAAAAGCAACAGTTAACTCGGCAAAGTGCAATACAACAGCATGTGCACATGACTTTTCTGTCCACCCGTGCAGGCATGATGTGTTAACACTGTCCCTTTCACCCTTCAACTCACTAGTAATTCTCATTACTGTCTGCGATGTGTTGGTTTCAAGAATTTGGTATTGGATCAACTAATACTCCCCCAAATAGTATTTTTCTTCATCCTCATCACTTGTCTGCTTGATATTGTATTGATATTGTAAGGAGAAATTCTGGCTTGGTCACAGATGGGAGTTTAAGGGTCAACTGTCCTATTACATTGTCCAATGACATGCATGATGCATACACTGTCTCATTAGTGCTAAAGTCAGGCTGGTGATCACCAATCACACTTGAGAATTTTATTATAGTTTTGATTAACAGCAGAGTCAGAGATTTATTAATTTAGACAAATGTTATGATATACACGTAGGGTAACTGTATTTTTGTTAATAATAGCTCAAGTCTAACTCCCAAGGACATGACAAAAATGGGACTTAAGGTTACTGGAGCAACTGGAGAAGCTAAGTTGAAGGTAATTGTAGTGATTTACTTAGAACTCATCTTGAGCATCTACCCTTCATCAATCCTGCACAGGGTTTTTTTTAAACACCTGCAAACAAGTCTTTATGAAGAATCAGATATGCAAATAAGTCCCTCCCTTACTCACAAAAATGTAGACTTTGTGGTACTTAGTTGTCCTGAACAAGCCCAAGCACAAAACCATAGTGGAGTTGTAACTGTACATAGACAATAGAGAGCAGAGATTCCAACCCTCCCGATTTGATCGGGAGTCTCCCGATTTGATGTCTTGCCTCCCGCTCTCCCGATTTTTACCAAATTCTCCCGATTTATCATAAAATTCTGAAAACTAGGGGAAAATTGCTAATCTTTATAATTTTTGGCGATCTGTCACTGTGAAACACTCATATTATACTTACTTTCTTTGCGAAGAGCATTATGGTATGTTATAACTCAGGCCGGAATGATGTCAAAATTCAGGAAATGGCACTTGAGAGAACCTAAATTTGCAAAATTTCCCGGGGGCATGCCCCCTGACCCCCCTAGAAGCTCGCGCCTTTGGCACTAATAGTTACTCCCTATTTTCCATCACATGGGGTTGGAATCTCTGAGAGAGACTTTGTTACAGTTTGTACCAAGCATCGTTGCTTTAAATATCACCTTCCAAGTGAAGAATTTATCAAGTTCAGACACAGATCTAATACTGTGAATCGCCTCAACTGATCTGAAGCAGATTGAAATGAACGGTTTAGTAGACAGACATTCACATTATAACAAGCAGAAACCATTAACTGTTTTAATGCAATAGTTGATCAACCTTAATGCACACGGTCGTAATTATTCTAACACAGAGGTGATACATACCATGAATAGTCAGAGTCTAATGGTGGTATTTGATAATATGCATGGGCATTCATTACACAGATGAAAATAATCCAGGGCTTTTCTGACAAAAGAAAACTTGTGGAATTTGTTGCTGCGTATCTTTAGCTTCAATCTGTCAAAAAACTAGCAGTTGCATGAAATGTGATCGGAGGAATTTTCATTCTGAGGCAGAAAACTTTCAGATTTGTTATCTGATGCAAACTGGAGAAAACCCTGTAAACAAAGATCATTGTGTTACATAGCAAATATTAAGTGATCATCAGTGAGGTGAAATGTGAAGTAGGAAATGGGAAATTGAGGAATTTGGCTTGTGTGGGCAAAGAAATATTTGAATTGCAGCATCTAAATCTGACAAATTTTGCAAAAGGAAATTCAATAAATGCAGGATACTATTTTGAGCAGTTTTTGTAAATTTCATATCAATTCATTTTTCTGCTGAGTTGGCTCTTGAAATCAGAATAACCTTGCATTGCTGCGAGACCAATAATTACAAGTTCACAACCATGTTTCATCTGTGGTTAAGTACTTTATGCACGAGTTGGCCATAGCTACTTTTTAATTTCATTTTCTGCACATGTTGAGAGCAACCTATAGTTATGTGTCAGTGCATTTCTGTTTAATTTAATCCTTGAAATTGGAATGACACTTATTAAGTAATATTGTAATGCTCCAGAATTTAGCTTACTGGCAGAGAGATTATACACTAGATTACTGTGTAAGCAAAATAGACTGCTTTCAGCTTGAAGCATAATCAGCTTGTTCAAGTTGTGCAAACTTGAACTTCTTTCCATTAGCTAATGTGCATTTTATTATTTTTCAGGTTCTTAGAGCATTAAAACTCATTGTCATTAACAACAAATTAGCTGTTAAAATGGCATGACTTCAAATTTGTTGTGTGTGATTGTTTAAGAGTACTCTTCAGTGGTTGAGCTATATTGAGTTAAGAAATATTTCTAACAAGGGATTGAAGTGAAACAAATATTTGTATTGTAAAAAATGTGAAAGATCTGTTAAATGCTTATAAAAAGTGCTTGGCATGCCCCAAATTCTTTGAAACCTAACCAATGGTTAGTTTAACACAGTGCACTTTGCTTACTTTGTTACCAGTACTTAGTTTGATGATAAATTTCAAATAATTCCACAGTGTTCTTTGATTTTTAAGAATGATTGATCTAACTGAAGCTTTTTACTTCCATGGTGTACTTTATATTTCCAGCAACCATAGAAATAGAGAGTAAAGTGATTCTTACCGACATTCGATTCCAACATCCTCCCCCTTCTAGTGCCTAAATAGGTAAATCAAACTGTCAGATAAGAGTTCAAAGGAATCATCAATAATTATCTAAGTACAAAGTATAGTCAATAATTAGACAAACAAAACTTTTTTTACGCTGTCAGCAAGTGGACACTAGGATGGATGATATACAACTTTCAAGCTCACCGAAATCCATGATGGCATCTAGTCATTGATCAAGATGCATCTGCTGCATTTTGGAAACAAACATAACAAGGAAGTTTGCTGTGAATTTGCCTTTGCAAATATTTTTAATTCGCTATATCTCTTGGTAAGGTTATGATGAAACATTCCAGTTGCCAATTTGGTGACTCATTTTCAGAATTTGGTCGCCAAAGTGAAAAATGTAGTCGCATTGGCGCCTGTATTAGGAGCAATTTCACACCCTGAAAATGATTTTTTAAGAATCCCTCTAACTCCCATAAGTGACCAAGATCGAATTTCTCCTTACAGCATCAATACAGTATCAAGCAGACAAGTGATGAGAATAAAGAAAAATATCAACAAGGGAAATATTGGTTGATCCAATACCAAATTCTCTAAATTAACATCAAGAGAGTTGTATAGCAGACAGTAAGGAGAATTACTGATTAGATCTTGGGAAAGAACAGGTTATACTTGCATTATTTTCAGTTTGTTTCCCAATACACAATATGAAATATTGGGGTGATGCAGCCCTATACACCTCCTGATAAAAATGCAACTGATGAATACAGGAACTGAGGAGGAGTTTCAAAGGTACTTATCTGACAAGCACAGCAGCTCCAGTTTTGTTGCAGAATTCTCCATTGCGTTAAGGAAAATCTCTGCAGAGCGCTGGTTCAACAATCAATAGGACTTATCTTTCCAATTTCTTGAGTTATTTACAATCCATACAATATCCGAACTTTGTACATTCAAATGATCTCAAGTCTCTTCTGTTACGAGATGACAATTCTATTTATCTCCTATTACAATGAAAACACATGCCTAAACTATGTAAATCCAAGATTGATATTACTTATTCAAGAATTTACTAAATCCCAAGCTATTTCCTGTCAACTTGATTTCAACAGCTTACACCCGCATGCATACATTATTTTCTGCATGAATGACGCATCACACAATGTTACAGGATGTTCCAACCCAGATGTGCATGCACAATTTCCCTGGGCAATTCCTTATCTAATTGTTTCAGACTATTATTGATTTTCTATATCAGGAACATTCTTACTACAAGTCTGCCATTACCGTGCTACGTTCAATTATACACTTAAATCTTAAGTAACCCAATTGTCATCAAATCCCTAGCTTAATTAATTAAGTGTCACGTGATACGCATACAAGATTATCACAACAGGTTTGAAAATGTTGTCCACCTTTAAAATGAACAGTTTTTTTATTCTTGTGGTACTCTGTCACATAAAGAGAAATTTGTAAAATTGTAGATCTGACTCCTTTCCCAATGTCCTTGAGTTCTGCGGTTAAAGTGGCTAAATCAAAGGTGTGCTCATGAAAGAATCACTGATGTGCAAAAGCACTTTCTACATGATTCAAGAGTTCCTACCTCTTAAAGACTTTCATAAAAGCAATGACAAAAATACTCAGACAAAAGTTAATCACTAGTGACACAAGATTCTGATAAAGTACAGCAAGTCAATTAAGTTCTGTAACAGCTCATCATTCTTGGCTAAATGGATCTGATTAAAATTCCTACCAGCATCTTTGTCCCTCAGAGCATTTCACACAAAGCTATGACCATCTTCAGGCCACCAATGTGGCAATGATGCAATAACTTCCATATCCTTGTCCTCTTTATTCTTTATAAGAAGTGCCTCTTCCTTCTTTATCAGTTCCAGTCTCAACAGCCCCACCCCATACTGTCCATATATCATGCAAACCTTGCCAGCTGCTTTCCCATCAGATGTCCTAACTCTTGCTCCTGACTCAAAGTGGCTTGCATCTGCTTTGGGGTCAATAAATTTAAATGGAACCGTTAAACTTCCTAATGACTCCAGTGTGATGAGTCCTAGCTGTAAGTTCTTGTCCAAGATAACAGCCTTTGTTGAAAGAAACTAGGAAAAGAACAAAGTAATAAAATTAATATTATTTGTTGTGTGTGAGTGTGGTTGGGGAGGGGGTTATGGTTAGGGTTGGAAGATTTTGGTTGAGTCATGATTAAGTTTACCTGATCCCCCTAAGAAGACTCCATAATATTATTATGATCCTTCCCCCCTCTTTTGGCAGTTGATTTTTTAAAGTCCCTCCCCCTAAACTCTTTTTGGCGGTGACTGATCCTTCCCTCCCCCTTCTGATCCCCCAAGAAAACTATGTGATCCTCCACCTGCCAGACAATGAATGATGACCTGTTCCTAAGTTGAAAGTTATACCTCCGTTAAGATATGCAATGTTGTATTCCAAGGGCATTGCATTTCCCGGTGGTATTTCATCCACTCCCTCGCAAATTCCCAGTTTAGCTCTCAGTACGTCATATTCAAAGCTATCTCCTGTCTCGTAGACATCTTCAAGACAAACACATGGACTTAAGCCCTTAGGCAACACCGCACGAAATCCTAGCTGCTCAACTCTAGGATCCTTCACCAGCACTTTAATATCCGAGTTACTCGACACATCTTTGAAGTCAATAGTCCCTGACATTGAAAATATCACCCACGGCGCGTAATCTTCTGCATGAATGATGTCGACTTTCGAGCGTAGTTTGAACATCTTCAAATGTTTTGTAAGGTCTGGAATCACACTAACATCACACTCAAGAAAGAATGCAGGTACGTCGCCACTTCTATCGTGTTTATAGAGAACAGTGTCGTATAATGTGCGACCATTGGCGTTCAAAAATACACCGTACATCGCTTTTCGTTCTACATTCTTGTGGAAAGACTCCACATTGTTTGTGATGAGTCCCTGCAGAAACTTTACGGAATCTCTTCCCCTCACTTTCAACAGTCCTCTCTTTCGCAAATGAGAGCATTTTAAATCTCCTGAGCATTTTAATGAGGCGTTCGTTTGGATTAAGCGAAGGCTGCGTTGTTGAAGAACTTCAAAACATCGTTTCCTAGCACGCCAAGTCACGGCCGCCATAATTCTTTTTATTAATTCCCGTTCTCCAACCGAAGCAGAGGGACCTCGTTCCCAGGAGGCTAGACTGTTGGGCCGATAGGAAGACACTTACGATGTATGCCTTTAAGGTTT